CTTCCAGGCCGGGTCCCGCAGGTACGGGCATTGCTGCCCTCAAAGAGGAGAGGTCGATGGTCGACACTGGCTCCGTATTCTGGTTAGACACCAGAGGTGTCGCCAGAGTCGTGGATGGCGCTGCGGTCGGGTTGTTTGCCTGAGCAGCAGCCAATGGTGTATTTGCCGGTTTCACCCTTGGGTTGTTCACCCTGGGGTCAGCCGATTGGTGGTTTAGCCTGGCACTTGGGTTGTTCACCCTCGGTACCGGCTTGGTGTTTTTTTTATTATTTGGTTTTTCAGTATCCATAGTTTTTTTGGTATACTATTCATCTCCTTGTCCTTCCACCCTCCTTGGAGCCCTCAAGTGGGGACGCCGCGGCAGAAGGCACACGACGCCAGAAGTGACAAGGAAATATAGAGCTCCCTCCCTGGCAGAAGGCAGGCCGAACTAGGTAGGAAGACTTGGTCGTCCCACCCGTCGTCCACCCCCACCAAGGAAGAGCTCTCGCCCAGCAGCCCTCTGACGGGATACTACAGCCGATTGACCAAAGGTGGCTAGCCTTCAGCCTCCCGTGTAAAGAGAAATCCAGGCCAAAGCAGTGTGTTGCCTTTCAGCTCAACTACCAGGATCCCTTCATCCTCCCTTACGGGTCCCCGCACACGGCACAAACATGCGGGTGGTTGCCCCCCCTCCCCCTCACTTTGTTGATAGTGAGGCCGCAGGCACCAACCACTTAGTGTCCGCAGTAGGTGTGGATGGGATAGAAAATGGGAAGGGATAGGTTTTGTGGGATGGAATTGCGTCTGGGTGTTTCTGTTATATCTGTTTCGTAGGGAATCAGACCTAAAACAGGCGGCAACCACGGGAAGGATGACACCCAGACTTGCCATGGGGATCTACACGACTGTTGCGCTCTCCCCCATGACCATTCGCCGTGTACGCCCTCCGGACAGGAGGGCGTACCAGGATTGGATCTGCCCCAGGCGATCTTGGCCTTTTGGAGCACACCCAACCCCGCCCAACAATATTAAGTATCTTCTAAAGGGTTTTAATCCCATTTTCCTATCTTGATATTTGCGCTACCACATTCCCTAACACTCCGTTTCATTTGCTAATTTTCATAATTTTATTGTATGCACCTGAAAACGATTAAATTCGACTTGTTAACGTCAGGCATTTGGTCACCCGTTAAAGAAACCAGCACAAACTCTTTGCAACGTTACACTTTTATTTACACCGAGCCCAAATAAAATTGGTGATGATTAAGTTAAATACCTTCTAATAAAACCTCTGTATCTGGAATTGATAACTAAGATGAGTAGTGATGAAAAGAAAAGTCTGTATACGATGCACAGTAAAAAAACATCGTGACATACATTTAAGAAAAACAGCAGCAAATGAACCGTAGAACACTATTAACGCTGTCTGACCTATTAGGAAAATACGTGATTTTATAAAACTTGTGAGAACGTAGCCCTGGGAGAGCCATGCTTTGGAGAATGTGGGCCAGGCTCGACCGGAGTGATACCATGGCATTACAGGAAACGGGTTTACACAACAGCAAGCTTTTTCGTACAAGTAGGTCATACGCCATATAACATAAAGACTACATTCATATATAGACTAGGAATGTATTTTATAGCAGTTTTCTTTGATGTTATTTAAGGACCGCTGATTACCTACAAATGCAACTTCTTTCACTTGCTTATTTCTGTATTTTTAACTGTGAGAGTTTTTTAGTGGTTCTAGGTACATGAACAAAGTATGTTAAATGTCTTTATTATTTATCTAAAAGCTGCCATAATAAAGTAAGTAAAAAAAATGTGATGTACTCAAAAGGTAAGGTGCGCGTCAAATTAATTTCTTGGAGGACAATGCCGCAGGCGATCTCTATTGTTGTCGGAACCTTGATATACCATTGTTCCTACTCATACAAACTTGTATACTAAACAAGCGTACTAAAATAAATACACGTTTATTATACCTCACACACTATGATGAAACATTTTTCAAAGTACTGCACTCACCAGGTCTTTGTGACAAAAAGCAGACGACAGTTTATTGACTTTATTAGATTCTTTTTTTTTTTTTTTTTTTCTTATTAAAAAAGACAACTCCCGCATTAGGAATAAATCCTGTGTCGCGGGGGACTTTACAAACATACATGAAACGGACACAAAGAACACCCAGACTCAGAACAACAATTTGTGGATCACACAAAGTGTCGTCCCATGTGGGGTTTGAACCCACAACACTCGGCGTAGTAGGAAGCGGCGTGGCGACCGCTTAAACCACTACGCCATCCGTGCAGTCGCAATTCTATTGCGTGGTTTATTATTTTCATTTTATTCTCGTCGCCTAGCATGTATTCAATCTTTACCTATACTTAGAGTGTAATTTAATTACAAAAACTTCTGGTTCGGAGGTAGTAAATTACCTCCATGGAAAAAATATTATTCGAAAACTGTATTGGGTTAAATGTTATTTTAGATTCTACCTACTTTCTGTGAAAACTTGCGCTTTCCATGCTATTTTTGCCTCGAACGATCAACCTATGGAACTTGAAATGTTTTTCGGACCGATACCTGTGATCTTTAAATCTTCAAGAAAAGGGGGTACTCCCACCTCACATACTGGCAATGCCATCATGACTCTTGAGTTGCAGGTATCCATGGATGGCGGTAGTCAGTACCTCACGAATAGGTTTACGAGTATATGTGTTGTATTTTTACCAAGTGAACAAAACCCAGTAAGCCCTCGTTTCAAATTTGATTGTAACCCACCCAACCAACTTTAGAATACGTAGATACCCAAATTAGAAAGAGAAATTCAAAAACAGCTCCAGGGCCTGATGGTATAACAAAAATAGTATATAAAGAATGCCCATCAGTGCGTAAACACCTTCTAAGTACATTCGGAAGAGAAATACCAACAACCTTTGAAAAAGCCACTTTGGTCCTTATTCTAAAAAAAAGTGAAGTAATCGATCCCAGAGACACCAGACCGATAGCCTTTACCAATACAATTTCTTAAATATTTTTCATCTGTCTTTAAATAAAAATAATACAGTTTATATTCATCAATAATTACTTCAAACCAAATTACCAGAAAGGGTACATGTCCGGAATCAATGGATGTCTAGAACATAACTTATTACTTGCGGCAGGTCTCAAAGATGCTAGGAAAAATGAAAGGTAAATTACAGCCTGTTGGAAAGATTTAGAAAACGTCTTTGGATCTTACTCAATTAGAAAACCGCCAGTGACTGGACATTATTAGTGGACACGTATGAAAATCATTACAGAATACCGGGGGATACCGGAGGCGTTCAGACTAGACATATATCTTTATGCAGTTTCAATTAAGTGTGTAGTACTAATAAAACTCGCTTTTAAAAGAAACAAGTACTTAACCAACGAACTTTTGCGTTGCATGCCGTGGAAATGGGTGCGAGGGGTATACCAGCTAAAACCCTCCATAACCTGCTTAAAGACCTCGGATTGCCAAGAGCTTCAGTAAGATCTTTTCTAGAACGAATATCCAAAGAGGCATTGCTAGGATCATATCAAATATGGTTAGGTAGAGGGGATAACACAGCAGAGAGTGGAGAGCGCAAAGAACTCCCAAAACCTATACCTGGGTCGTATTTCCTAGGCGCTGTCGAAGTCGCATATGTTATCATATCACGCGTGAACCCGCTACCTGCACGGTGAATACCATACCATAAAAATAGATCTTTTTTCTCTTAGCATTGAGATTATAAAGAAGTTAAACATTAGTGCATTATCAAGTCACAAAATGGAACATTCATTTTTTTTAATTATCTTCTTGTATATTATTCTTTTTGAATCCATTTTCATTATCGTCCTAATAAATAATATTAGATCTTTACCTATGAAATTGCCGTTTTGTATGCAATAAGTGAAAGCACCTACCGACTATTACTTTTCCAAAATTTAGACAACATTTTAGTGGGTAAAAAATTCAATTCCCGAGAGGCAGTACAAAATGCCTTTGAAGAGTTTGTTGCCTCCCGTCCAGCTGATTTTTACAAGAAGGGCATCAATAAACTGCCAATGCGTTGGCAAAGATGCGTCGATTGCATGGGTGATTACTTCGAATAGCAGAAATAAAAAAAATTGAAAAAATGAGTACTTTCACTTATTGCATACAAAACGGCAATTTCATAGGTAAAGACCTATTATGTTTAATCTTATAATTTTATGATTCGATTGTTCATCTTATGAGTACACTTGATTAATGTTATAAGAATTAATTAGAGCAGAATAATAACGTTACAGAGGATTAGCAGAATACAAAAAAAAATACAAACACAAATTATAAGTCAGTTTATTAACCAAATCGCAACTTATAAATAGAATAACAATAGAAAGTAAACAAATACAACAAATAGCTACATCTTGTAAATAACATACAATGTTAGCCTACAACATTCAGGTACATTTGTGGAAACAATTACTTACAATAAATAACGGAAAAGTTAACAGTTAATTTCGTAGAGATCTAGAGCTTTGACTCTTCGCACTTACTCGATTTTTTATGAACAGTCACACGCAAACTTTATTACTCAATATTCTAGTACAAACTTAACCTTAATGCACCCACGATCAAGAGGTACAACTATTGTAAAAAATATTCTTATGGTGTTAATTCCGATTAAAATGTTTTAAAGTATCACAATTCATAGGTCGTTATCCTATATACGTGGTATGTACTGTTTAGTTATAATATAGTTTTATCCTCTTTTGTCCATGACCATTAATATTATAGGATTCCGAACAGCTTAATATGCGATTTTCTAAAATTCTTCTCGCTATTTTGAAGACTGGGTTGAGATAAATATAGAGTATAATAATATGATTACGATAAAGACGCCAGTAAAGCAGGTCACGGTGCTATCTTTGCCAAATATACGTTACCCATATTTTCAAACATATAATAACCTTACTTTAAAACATTTTTAATTGGAATATATGCTTACAGCATTAATTCATTGTTAGTGGTGAAAATGAGAGGCTTCGTGAGGAGATACAGGCGCTGTCTTATGGACCACTGCGTTGAACCCATTGTGTTTGTCAGCAGTGTAGTCTACAGTGCGGATGGAACCATCAGGCTCAACCACTGTGTACTGACCTGCAAAGTAAATTAATATTTTGTGAGTTTCAAAAATCTACCAGATTGGCTCACTCGCCAAATCAAATTATCTTATCCTAACCCTAAAGTGAAAATTATGTGTATGGGGAATTTCATTATTTAACCCGACAGATAGTTTCCTGCCAAAATTGCCAAAATTGATTTGAATTACAAAACACCCATCCAGTTTATCCAAAATTATATATCTGGCAGGCTTTATACAACTTTTCAAATCCTGTTTTCCCTTTTTTATCTGTGGGTAAATTCCCTCGGGTACCACCGGTGGCTAAGTCGGACTCGAGCCGACTAAAAACCGCACGCCGTCTCGGGTACCAGAGCCGGGGAACCAAGTGTACCCTAGAAAGGAAATCCCTGGTAAAATCCTGTTTTCCCTAAAAACATATTCAGATTAATCAACATAACATTCTTTTTTGTCCTTTTTGTGAACGGACTCCGTCTAACCGTGCCCAAGTACGGTGCTCACCGACCAACAGCATTTTATTTTTTTATATAGTCTACAGTAACATTTACAATATTGTTTACCTTTGACAACATCACCGTCTCGGGACTCATGATGCGTCTTGATGTCACCAGTATGGAAGTCGTTTACGCCATATTTAAATTCATACTTCGGGTACGCCTGAAAAAAAGTTTTAAATATCGATTAAAATGATACGTTCATTTACAGGCCGGTGCGAGCTCGTTAATGCCCGCAAAATATATTTTTTCTTAAAAACTTAACATTGGTAGTAAGTTAAAATAAAATCCGTCCCTCTATCATCACAACTCTTTTCTCGTTTTCTGAGTGGTCTGGTACATCCATAGTGAAAAAATATGATAAAGTATTGGAAAGTGCTATTTAAATAATATTCCGTAAGTCCAAATGTTGCGGTGCGTCGGCGGTAACTTTAGTGAAAACGTTTGCCCGTCACGTGTTCTTACATAACTGTTTACCTGTTAATGTTTAGTGTAAGTCATAAGCTGATTGGCGATTTAGAAATTTATTAAATAGTCAGTTTTATCTGCATAAAAATGCAGACATACTGGTAAGGATGCATTAACGTATAAGTAATAAGCTTTAATTTTTTTAAAGGATTATGACAAAAAATATATTTTGTTTCTTCTTCAGGATTGGATTTCCTCGTCACTCGCTAGCTACTAATGTATCGTTCTTTACATTTTTAGCCATAATTTACAATGTTTTAAATATTTATTTACTGAAAGCAAGGCTGGTCCGAGTAGATGCTATCCTCCAGGGCCCTCTCCGACGCCTCCTTCTGCGAGATGACGTTTTCGCAGAAGGTTACGACCGCGTTAAAACATATGTCACTACTGGCTACAAACTCAATCAACTTTCTATTATCTTTTCTTTTCATTTATTGACAAAAAGAGACGATTTTTACTTCATCACATTTTTAACCTCTCAACTAAATACTCTAAAATGTGTTAAGAACACAGTTAAAGAAACTTGTACAATATAAATAACAGGGCTTTAGTACAAATTAGCGACACAAAAATGACTTGTCATCTATTAATGTAAGCAATGCTATGTATTACTTATACAATTCTAATGCAACAGTATCTCATCACTTGTACAAAGTACTCATCACAACGAGCGGAACGTGGCACAGGAAACGATATCTTGTTTTGGTTCCTGTTTATATACTTACGACCAATTTACACTTTTTACTTTATCGTTATGAATTAGCTTTCAAGCAAATCAACCATTGTTATTCAAAGGAAACTTTACATAGGAAGTCTTAAATTATATTGTTTACTTCGATGCCACGTTTTTCTTTCGCACTTATAAGAACAAAACTTACATGTTGAACAGATCATAGACGAAATATTTTAAGTTTCACCAAGTTTACTTATTAAAGTTAAATAATTTCAGCATGTTCTTGTGGACGTTATCGCTGCCGAACTATAACGGTGTAAACGGACTATAGAAATTGGTAAGTATAACTCCAATAAGAAACAATTTACGTACTGATGACTAGTGACGTAATATATCAGTACTGTAACGATTATTCAAGTCAATATTCTTCAGGCTTAGACAATTTTCGAAAAAAAGGGGGGGGGGGGAAATAAATAGGTATCAATATTTGAACTCCAGAAATTCCAAAGTATTTTAAACAATCATAGAGTTGAGACAGACTTGAGTTTTCGCTATATTTAGTACCATATTTTTTTAATTTAAGTAATTCTCAAAATTTGGAACAATTTAAACACCTGCAGCTTCAGGTAATCCATTCCTATATTATAAATGTGAAAGTTAGTTGGTTTGTTTATTTCTTACGGTTTTACGCCAAAATCACTAAACCGATTTTAAAAATTCTTACACTTGGAAGCTTACAATGGAAAGCGACATTATCAGTGAATGATAATAACAAAAAAAAACCTGTGAGTGCGAACCCACTTTTAATAAATACTCATCTCAAAAAAACAGTAAGAACACCGATTCTAAAATTTAAAAACAATATTTAAGTATCTGTTCCAAAAAAAAAGAAAGTTTAAAAACTACTATTGACAACTCCAACACAGAACCCTTATTTGGACCAGAAGTAAAAGTGTACTAAATTAAAATGTATAATTTTGTAAAACAAATGACGACATAACTACCCACGTCATTGTGTTATCCCATTCGCACGAGAGTTACTCGTACGCAATACAAACATTTATTTTAACTATAACTTAATATTCAAAACGTATAAGACTTTTAAGATTCATAATTGTATTGCATAGTAAATAAAATCACCCGTAAATCGTTTAATTTATCGTAAGTATATTAACGTATATTGGTTTAGAACAGTTTTAGTATTTATTCGGTAATAGTAGAACAGTATTAGTTATAGTAGTTTTAGAACAGAGTACAAGAACAGAGATTTTCACACTGGTATTAGAAAGGCGAAAGTTTGTGAGTATGTGTGTGTTTTAATTCCTCACGCTCAAATGGCTGGAACAATTTTGATAAAGTTTGGTATGGAGGACTCCCTGGATTAACACATAAATTCAAGAAAGGGCACCGAAGTTCAGTCTGGAATGCACCGACTTGTGTAACTTAAATAACAATTTTTTTATAACTCCCATAATTCATTCCCATGATCATTATTTTTATTATTAGTGTCATTGGAAATAAGGAACTACATTAAGCTATTATTCGAAAAACTAGCTGAATTATCAAATATAATAGAGCTGTATCTTTGAGTCGTTACTGCTACTTACTCGTATTAGCTTAATCTAGAATAATGGTTTATAATCTCTACATTAAATTAACGCGACGGGGTAAACAAACGTAATGGACAATTTTTCTTTAGAATTTCTATTTCTTTCTTTTCTGTAGAATTAAGTAATACTTTTACTTCAATGTGAACTTGTACTGTACATTTAATGAAATCGTTGGATTGTTGGAGAAAGAATGAATTGTTTATGAAAAAACTATCATCTGTTTATGTACTTATAATTTAAAACTGAAAAAATAAACAATAATAGTCTAAATAATTAAATTTAAAAGTTAAATGAGAATACAAATTGAATGTGGCTAGGAATCCATTACTTTTGCAACCGACTGTAGTTATTATTGATAGTTTGTAATATTGTAATGACGGGTTACTTAACTAAGCTTTCCTTATTGACTTTTTTATCAGTAGTTGCGCGACAATAAGTGGTGGACTATTAATTTTATTAATTATTATGAGCGTATACATTACATTGTACCAGTACCATTTTTAATTTAACTTTTATTGTGTTTTTAAATGTTTAAATAACTATTTTAGAATTTAGCACAACTTAATGTAAAATCAATTAAAAGATTGTATTATATAGAAAATATGTAGCTAAACACCAGTTCTTTATAAATTCACTTTCTATTTTTATTTCAACAGTTCCAATTACCATCTAGTAAGATTCTTAGTTTAAATAGACACTTGGTAACGCAGTAAATATATTTTGAAGAAGCCTATTAAAAAGAAGATTTGAACTCTATGGAATATCAAAATTAGGGATATTTCTCTATTCCCTTTCGTATATCACTCATATCACCCACATCAACTCCTCCATAGGCTTCTTATCAACTTGAAATGAAACTATTGGTCATTTTACGTTTCTTGTCTTCAACATTGTAAGGTTTACTTAAAAACATAGTAATCATAGTAATACCATGAAGCCAAATAGTTTTCTTATCAAACTCAATAATGCTTGTCGCTAACCGACAAATTTGAAAAAATATATAAATAGCCCAACTCTGGATACATTACTTGTAACTATTTAATATCACCCTTTTAAATTCCGTCACTACTTATAAGTATTACATTTTACGAATAAAATTATAAATAGCTGTACTTACATAATAATCAACGTGTTCATCATCCGAGATGTGATGATGATCAAAGCTTGGCTTAGAGTCTGCGTGAACGATCGTCGCAGCCTCCTCTAAGTCACTAGGTCCCACCCTGACTGGCCGAGCATACTGCGCCAGACGGCCATGAGTACACGCTACCACAGCCAAAACTGCTATCACCAACTGAAAGAGATTAGGATAAATATCGTAACATACATTTATGAAGTGGTTTAAACACCGTTTTCGTGGCTCTTACGTTACTTCAATAGTGAAGAAAATAATCGAGGCACAAGTTTGAGGATCTGATGAACTACCAGTATTCGTATTTTCTAAACTAGAGTTAAATAAGCATTGATTCCTGTAACAGGTTTAGATCTCGTAATCCTCTTAAGAACTTCTGCTGCAAACTAATATTTAAGTGAAATTCGTCGGAGAAAAGTGAACCATATCAAACTTATAAACAGAGAAGAACATAAGAGTTTATATTTTAGCCCTCGAAACTACTAAATGGCTATTGATGAATGATATGTCATCAGATTTGATTTTATTGTCCGAGTAATATAGATTTTTTTTAAAAAAATGGTGATTTTTAACCAAAATATGAAATTCTGTACATTATACTCTTAGATAAACATCTAGCTATTAGTAACCTATAAATGAATGAGTAAGTAAGATATATTTAAATCGCATGTGTAAATTGGCTAATATTCTTTTTTTGATATCAATAAAATTGTAGAGTTATTTTACCTAAACCATCTGTAGCTCAATACAATATACTTACATGTCTTGCTTCGATAAACACAATCTTATTAACGTTTTATGCTGTATAAAATTATCTTCACAAGCGATTGAACATTATACATAATGTCTGTATTTCATTTACTATTATGAAAACACTATTTTGTTAACACTTTTATTAGCTTTACTTGTGACTAATAATGGTTAGTAAACCCTAGTAAAGTGACTACTAGTCAGCTCCTCAAGTTTCAATTAGTATGACTCGTTTGAACGAGTGATCAGGCCTGGTAACCCTGGACTGACACCCTTGTCAGTAAAGGGTTACCAGGCCTGATCACTCGGGCCCCTGCCCGAGAGGTGGATAGTGAAATTTTTGGTTGCTTACTCTTTTTCTCACTTCGCTATTGAAGCGAGTTTTGTCTTATTTTTCCTAAGTGTATTTGTGCAAAATTTGTGTGACCCACACATGATCATCCCTAATGAAGGTGTTTTGTATGTGCATTCTTTGAATGTTGGTCCCTCGTGACAGAGAAATGACTTCTAATGCAATGTTTCCTTTCATTAAATTTACATTGCTATCAGTTACTGTACTGAGCTGTAAACGCTGTAATTAGGATATTTAGGTCAAAGGATATGCTTTCCGGCATTATAATTTTCTAAAATGAAATAAAGAGTATCCCAAATTTAAAAAAAAACCTTTTCTATTGAGTGGCAGCCGTCACGAAGTATTCCTACCTTGTGAATAAAGCCTTGCATCATTTAGGACAGTCATATCATTGTCGACGGCAGTAATATGACAGTCAAAACTCACGGCATGTCCAATACTAGTATCCAGCACTTTATGCGTATAAATTTACCAATAAAAACCTTTAAAAGAAACAAAATGATTGCTGTTAAAAAACTTTAATGAGCCAAATCATCGTACCAGTAATGAAAGAGCACAAAACGAATGGGGTTAAGTCAATAACTATCTGCACGGATGGAGTAGTGGTTCCTACGACGCTGAGTGTTATGGGTTCAATCCCCACATGGGCAGACACTTTTTGTGATCCACAAATTGTTATTCTGAGTTTGGGTGTTCTTTGTGTCCGTTTCATGTATGTTTGTAAAGCCCCTTACGATACGGGATACATTCCTAATGCGGGAGTTGTCTTTTTTCAAATTAAAAAAAAAATACTTGGTATCTAAAAACTTTTACATAATATTATAATGTTTAATATTGGTATACAAGTTATTATAACATCTACCACTTCAATTTAAGATTTAATTTTTAATTTCAGCTCACATGTAGCGTGTTGTTAGAACAATCGTAAGTTTTAAAATATAATCATTATAAGAAAAAGGAAACCTAAAATAAAATCTCATTTAAACCTAATTATATTTCGTTTAATAGCCGGAAATAGCTAATGAAATCTCTCACATATTATATAACAAGTTAATATGTAATACGTAGTTAGTTTTTTCTTATTTCTAAGTATTTTTTTGAATGGTGGGACAATGGTATTTATAGCAAATGAATGTATAGATGCGTAGCCAAACAAACAATAGTCGTTTGTGTCCATATTCTCACACACACTTTCAGTATTCCATTGATGATTAGGCGGAATGTGTTTTTGCGTAATTTTGTCGTCTAATCTGTGAATACTACTTTTGTTTTCATTTGTAACTCCAGGTTTTATGACTCGATGACCTAACACTACGTATATACTGCCTGTGCATATTTATATGCATCTGTATTCTCAAATTTATTGAAGAAAAACTAAGAAATAACGAACTTGTAAAAAGTGTTATATTAAAATTGTAAAAGTGAAAAATAATTTTGTAACTAATATATTTTTATAAAATCATTATTAATTATTAAAAAAAATAAGTTTTTATATTTACTAAATCTACCAATAGCTATTTTTTTAAGTTAGTTTAGTTTTGACTACTACATTATTTTTCTTTAATTCAATTTTACGCTTGACATGTACTCGTAGGTTTGTTATAAAGAAAATATTTATGGTTAAACTTATTACTTATTTTAACTTAAACTTATTACTTATATTTACCTTGCTCTTTTAAACACTTTATTCAAGTCATTTATATTTTATTTAAATGACATTTTGAATACTATTAGAACATTATAATTTTAAAGAAATGTTTCAAAGCTTTATTTCGCCGTTACGAAGTACAAGCAGGAAGTTGTAGAGATTAAATATCTGATACGTAATCTTAGACATCTTTTGGTTGATAAGGTTTTACTGTAATGCTAGACATCGTAAATAATTGAAATTTTAATTCACATTTACGATTAGGATTAATTTTAATGAATATTTGCCTAAAGGGAACCCTAAATTCCCATAAAAAACATTTTGATATGAGTACTCAGTACAGAGTACTCAGTGTGAAAAAATTAGATTGATAACATATTATTTGTAGATTATTATTATTTGCATGTACTTAATATAAATATTACAAAAATATGTTAAAAAAAATAATCTTTAATATTTCTCTTTTAAAAGCTTTTGTAAAAAATGTATCTTACCTTTAAGGCCATTTTCGTTTCACTTGGAATGAATTCACTTCACTGAAGTTATGATACACTTGTTTCGAGTGCTGAGTATCGAATGTGGCGTTAGAAACTGTACTGTGGATTTATATGTTGCTGTCTAGGGAGGTGGGCAGGTCCGCGCTGGGGGCTAAACATTAACTCTGTTCAACATTTCATTGAACTTATTTTTCCTCTACTAGATATTTGCTTGTGATGTAAAAAGTGTATATAGAAGTTAAAGGAACGTATATTTAAATATTCTAAAATAAAATGAGTGGCTGACCTGAGTGGCTGTGACCGATTCCAAATGATAAGTTAAACCTACAAATGGTTTAGGAGAAATGTATAATAATTAATTTTGGTCATCTCAATTACTTTACTTACTATTTATTACTTACTATGTTAACGTTTTTAATTTCGAACACTTACGTGAAATTTTTAAAAATATTGTGTCACTCCTATTAACTTACTAACTTTTTTCGTCTTTGGTGTAGTGGAACGGGACAGAAAGCCATATACCTACTCAATGTTATTAAGAAAGAACTTCCTATTTAGCATCGCTCTGTTTTTATTGGCTGTGTTATGTTTTCGTTACATTCTGTAATTTCTGATGTGGTAGAAAAATTCCTAACCATATAAAATTCAATCGAGGTGGTGGTTGGCAAAATACGAAGGAAACGCAAGAGATTTGAAAATTATTTTAGTTCTGAAAAGATGCACTGCTTTTAATAGAATATACATTAAATAATAACCACAACGATATACAGAACCTGTAAAGAAAAAAGAAAAGGCGGTAAATCGAATTTTAATGCATTAGTTTACAGATACAGGATAATTAATTAATAAACTATCTTTTATCTGTAGCCTCAATCACGTTAAAGTAATTTTTCTATTTTATTTTACTTTCGTCCTAATAAGGAATATCCAATGCTACAGAGAAGGACATCGAAATACCCTGATGTAGGCTGACCCATTGTCCCTATATATTAAAAAAAAATGTGTTGAACAAAGAAACAAACACCTTTTCGCTTTTACATTAATTGAGATTTTAGGAAGTGTTATAATTTTGTTACAGGTGTATGTAAAAATTTAATCCCATATTGAGGCCTATGTAGGCATCAAAATGTAAGTATCTAATAAGCGGTACTTATGTACCGCTTATTAGATCCTTAATTTTTTTAAAGGTAACTCTCGAACTACAAACATACATGTAACTTAAACAAAGAACACCCAGACTCAGAACAACAATTTGTGAATCACACAAAGTGTCGTCCCATGTGGGCATCGGACCTACAGTACCCAGCGTAGTAGTGAGCGGCGTGGCGACCGCTTAAACCACAACGCCATCCGTGCAGTCAAAGATACGGGATAATGATAGGTTTATGCTACAGTTGATTCAGTTTACGTATGAAGATAAACCGTAAGAATACTTCCGATTAAGGTGATCGAAACCCAGAGACAGCATATCCGTGGTTTAGTGGTTACCTTGAAAATGCTTTTTTAAACTTTTACTTGATTTCAAATGTCTAAACTTATACTGTGAACTATTTGAGACACTGCTTCTAAGCATGTACATTTATACAGTACATTGTTTGTATTGTACAAGATTATCTTGTAATTAGTTTTGTATACATATCTCTGTTATCTGTTTTCTTGTAAAATACTGTTACAATTTATCGTTTCTTTATCTTGATCCCGTACCTGACCGTTTTGCGGTATACCAAAATGAAAAATTAAGTTTAGGTAATTTATTTCTTATTTAATAAAAATATTATTACTTTGATGACGATTAAAGTAAAAGTAATTGACTGCACGGACTGCACGGATGGCGTAGTGGTTTAAGTGGTCGCCACGCCGCTTCCTACTACGCCGAGTGTTGTGGGTTCAAACCCCACATGGGACGACACTTTGTGTGATCCACAAGTTGTTGTTCTGAGTCTGGGTGTTCTTTGTGTCCGTTTCATGTATGTTTGTAAAGTCCCCCGCGACACAGGATATATATTCCTAATGCGGGCGCTGTCTTTTTAAAAACAAAAAAAAAATTAAAGGCAAAGTAAAATATTATGAGAATTTTCGTCATGAAGTTACTGGAGTTATGGTGACTTTTTCTATAAATAAAGTACCAGAACATAATTATCAGGGACCCCTGGCAAGCTACCACTACAGAGTCTTTAATAGGTTTTGACGCTCTAGTACCACAACGGGAGGTCCAGATTTCTACTGCGTGACATCATCGTGAGTTGGATTGACATAGTTCCGATTGGAGTGGCATAAAAATCATGGGTCCTTGAATACTGAAGAACAAAGATTTAAATAGGTATTTTCAGATTTGTTTTAAGATTAAGTTTTAATTAAAAAAAAACTGTAGTAAATCAAAACTCCGAAAAAGAACAAAGAATCGTCCGGAACTGGATTGGTAATACACATATTACAAGTGTTGATCAGTAACAATAAAAATATGTACAATAATATTTTACAAAGTTTTACGTTACATGTAAAACTTTTTAAATCAAATAAACTATTGATCAAAGCATGTGAGTACTTAAATGTTTACATGATTACGTTTGTAGTGCAAATATTTGTGGGAGTCAGGAACCTAATGTCTTCACGTTTTTGGATTGTTCAAACTCAAAACATCTTTAACTCATTAAATATATATATTTGAAACCGTCTTAGACTGATAAAGTCATAGATCAACACACAATAGCAACAACCATGTGTTAGTTTTACACTCTTAAACATTTTAACATACACGTCTATTATCCGCTTGTCGTAAGGAATTTCAAAGCCCTGTGCTCAATCCTCTACGAGTATATAAACTACTAGAGTCACGAGTCCCTACAACGTTTTCTACTTCGGTTGGTTGCCCAAGAAAATGACAGATAAGTTTTACATATTTTCGTACAATATGTCATTAACATACGAGAATAGTTACATAAGGTCTGCGCTCTTGCTAGTCTACTTTCCTTATTCCACCTGATATTGTGACAATGGAAGCAATATATTGGCTTCTTGATTGTTATATGTCAAGATAATAAGTCTATGGATGACGTAAATCAATTTGTATTATATTGTAATGATAAATTGAAGTTTGTTATGGCGATATAATATCGTAAATGTTGCAACCGAAGCTACAACCACACAAACCTAACTATAATTACAAGTTTACAGTGTATTATGCGTCACGAAAAGTATTAAAAAAATATAAAATTACTGAAACAGTACTAGAAGTTAGTAAAGAATAAAGAATATATTTATATATTGAAATAGCTGGAATTATTTTTGGTATTAGTACCTATCTATTAAAACGCTTTACTCTCATTAATTAAGACAAATTAACAAAATTATATCAATAAAAAGGTGATTTGTGCTGAATTCATAAATTTTAAATAAAAATTGTTTGAAATATTTATTTCTAATTTATGAATTCAGCACAAATCACCCCCACAAACCTGTGACATGACATTTTTTAAGGTATAAACTGAAAGTGTAGTTGGTTATTTAAAAAACTATACCAAACTTAAAATAATGTAAAGAATAATATTTTACTTTTATAATGGTTTTACACATTTCACACTCGGCCGTCTGATCCCAAACCAGGCAGAGCCTGTACTATGGTAACCAAACTGCTGATAAACATACTTATATATTTCTAAAAAGCTTATTACAATGATATAAAATTTTATACAGAATTTATTTCAAAGTTTTTGTGGTACTGCCGCAGTCTAATACTGCTTAAACAGAACGGCGTCTATCGGGCCCAACTTGTACAAGGTAACAGAACAGAATAAACGAAAATCAATAAGAAACTAGATAGATCAACATTTAGAAATATATTACAAAAAGATTACGTATTACGAATTGGTCTAAAGCAAAAACATGCCCTACCTAATTACTAAGTGTAATACATTACGATATTGATTATGCTTGAGTTATACAACTTTAGCGTTCAATACCTAATACAAGTTACAATTACAATGTTACAATATGTTTTGTAATATGAAGTCTATAGTACTTTCTATAATTTTACTTTACATGTCAAATTGATGAAGTAATCATGTCTTCTAAAGAGATTATCACATAGGAGAGCCATGCTTCGATACATACAGGCCATGCTCTACAGGATTGATACCACGGAAGTAACAAAACTGGTACTAAGTTGCTTTTCACCGATCCCCAAATCTCTCATGCCCTTCTGGGGGGGACTCAAGGTGGTTGACTTGAGAGTCTTGAGTTGCAGGTATCCATGGGCGACCGATGTAGCAACTTACCATCAGGTGAATCGTCTGCTCGTATGCTCTCTATACCGAGAAAAAATTGGAATATTTCATTGATAGGAACGTATTTAATAGTAATCATCAGTAGAGTCATCAGTAAAGTAATATTATGGATTATAATTATAGGTACATTATACAGATGTTATAGATTTCAGTATTTAGTACGGCTAAGTCCCACCTATGCATTATTTAATTTTTTTTAAATGACAATATTGGATCATAATGTCACAAAATTTGTAAACAGGGCACAAAAATGTAGATATACAATTAAAAAGTAGAGAAAAATGAACACATCATGACCGGGGTTTAGAGTAATGGAGCAGAGACCTTTCGGTCATGTAGTCTTTAACTGTATAATTACATTTATTTCTTTATCTATCTGAAAGAATTGTTTCAATTAAGTGATAATATGGTTAAGGTTACTGGCAGCTCAGGACTGATTATCGCGAATCTTTCGGCTGAAATTCTGATGATGCAGTGATAGATGATTGTGTGTTGCCCCTATCTATCCACACACATTTTCATCACGCGATGGACCCGACACCCGCAAGATGAATACATGAAACATTAAGAAATAGGTCCTACAGTGCTACAGTGCCAAAATCTCGTTTAACAAGATCAGGGTTTTTCTTGAAGTAAAATAGTAAATATTTATTGACATAATAATTATAAACTGCTTTGTTGCACTGCATGAAGCCGTTCCATCCCTTACATTAATTTTATAATAGTTAATTGATAAGCTTTATGTAAATATAATTAAGTAAATGAATAAGTAGTTGAAAAACATATTTATAATTATTTTTTTTGCAACTCCCGCACTAGGAATATCCTATGTCGCCGGGGACATTATGAAACGGACATAAAGTAATTGCCTATGTGGGGATCGAACCCACAATAGCCAGCGGTGTAAGAAGCCGCGAGGTCAACACCTAAACCACTATGTTATCCGTGCCATCACCATGCAATGGGTGGATGTAAAAGACACAAGTGGACATAAAGTGTGCTCTTGTCTTTTTTGTGGGCGCGTGTATATGTAGCATTTTTTTAAATCACAGACATTAAAACATGCTATATTTGTGCGCTTTTTATAACTGTTATACTGTATAATTCTTTAAGTGTGCTTCTGCACGGTGCAAGTAGCTGAAGCGGGCAAATTATTTGCCTCAGTAGCATGCACGAGTTACTTGCACGTTTGGTTGATATAATGTTCATGCGGGTTACATGTATGCGTCTTGCACGTTACAGTTTTGACACAGTTCAACGGCAAAAAAGTTATTCCATCAGAGTTAATAAATTTCTGTGCCTGCGCAAGTAACCCACGCGAGTGGCCCGTTCTGGTACATTATATTTAATATCATAATAAATAATTATATTTAATAAAACTACAAACTTTACAATTTGAATGATTTGTTGTGAATATGTTCATGTTAAATGTTCGATGCTGACTGTACATGTACTGTAGGTCTAAAATGTAAATTTAATATTACGTTCGGTAGATAATTAAAATTATATTCGGTAATTTCACATGCATACATTACTTATTATATGTTCGTATCTGTATACCAGCAAGCCTAAAACCTATATAATTGTAAATAAAAATAGGAAAGAATGTTAGTTTATTGGAAGTAAAAGGAAGGAAGATAGATGTTAGATTAGATCAGACTTTACGGAGTGTAAATAATAGCTCCAGCATATCAAGTAGTTTTTGTAAGAAATTCTCTCTTAATCTAGGGTCCCTTATGTTTGAGGTTCGTGGTCAATATCATTAGCATTCAACTCCAGCACCACATCTCGAATGCATCAATCCTTTGTCTTTCACTAGAATCGTCCACGTTTCCTCCGTATACATGAAAATAGGGAATACCAGGGGCCGTACCAATCTGATTTTAGTTTTGAGATCAATTCCTCTTTTTTTAGAATGTTTTTGAGATGAGTCACAGCATATCAGTTAACTGTTATACTCACTTTCTACACTACTTTTCATTCCATGGTGACGGCGGATGAGATATATTATATTTTGGGGGATTTTTGAGGGAGTATTTTATATTTTATCCTAATCTGCAATTGTCAGTCTTATATCATTAGTTTTGTGCTAAGATCAACAGGCGCCACTTTAGAGCCGCATTGGAAATTTGATAAAAATATCTAAGGCATCTATCAAAACATATTACAATGAAAACGAGCGCCACAAAATCAGTTTGATATATCTGGTATTACATAACCTACGGAATCAGTGATAGGATTACTAGCTCAAGTACATTGACACTAGGATGAGAACTGAGTCGGCTCTTGATATTTCTTTTAAAGCAACAAGAAAGAACTTTCTAATCAACTTCAATCGTTAGAGATAGGAAGGTTAGCACGCTTAATGACAAAATTAAATGGCTAGATGGAGAATCACCCTTAATTAGTATTGCTACAAGCCACTTAAACATCCATGTGGTGACGGGTTAAGAATACGCAGTGTCACCACATCTATTTTTCCCGTAGGTGTCGTAAGAGCCGACTAAGAGCGCAAACTTCCCAGGATAACTGCACTGCAAAGAGAAGAAAGACTTGAAACAATCCCGTCTGGCCAGCGTGGTATATTAAGCCAAAAACTTTATCTCTAAGGAGGTTAATCATATAAATGTAAAGGATTAAGTCGGCGAGAGAATGAGATAGAATACATTACACATTATTTTTAATATAATATTTTGGTGGTATTGTGGTTTGAATATTTTTATCCTTTTATTTAATACTAGCTGGTACCCGCGACTTTGAAAAACGCTGCCATAGTGGATTTGATTCCAGGTCCGGGCAAAAATTTTTTTTCGGCGGTTTCACTTCTGCCTCGTGTGAATTGCACACACACACACACACTTTTTTTTCCCGCTATATATAAGTATACCGGTGATATGTTAAAGACGTTGTGATGTGTGTGATTTTGTGGCCTTGGTCAATGTATTAATTTAGCAATAATTAACTATTTAAGAAAATAATATGTAATGGTGTTGACGCTGATGCACGGAAAAACTCGAATGAGTTTATGCGGCATCTTGCTGTAACAGTAAATATAAAAATATAATAAAGTTGCAGGAGTCCATGGGCGGTAGTAGACACTTAACATCAGGTGGCACGTCTGATTGTTTGCCCCCTACACTTCAAAAAAAGAATTGAGGGTGAATGAACTCTGTCGAACTTTTACTCTTTGTTACTTAGTGTCTATTACAAGGTGTACCATTCTATTGTCTATACTATTTACTGCTATTACTTTATGTCATTATTTCTTCTCTTTGTAAGAATTTTGTAAAGCTATTTATTTTGTTTATGAGTGATTTTACTATGTTGAAGAAGGTGACGTAATACTTTTAATTTCTATTAAGTAGTTCACAGCACCCTTTATTGTTATTCTTGTTGCATTAGCATTGCAGTCCGGATGCAAAATGTATAGTAACATGAGAGGAATAGAATACTTTCGCTATCGATAAATTGTGTCGTTTAAAACATAAAGAAGCTGATGAACATGTATATTAGCATAAACTACGCATACAGAATAACAAACTGTTCTCTAGAAACATTCAACTTTGTTAAGAATGTAGGCGGTAACAAAGCTTTAAGGGGAAACAACATATCAATTCGAGAATATTATCCATTAGTGTCGTTACAACAAATTATGTTGAAGGGTCCCCAATGCAAACATTTTTCAATATAATAAATATTTATTCTGCTCTCCTATGCTGCTAGTTACCGTAATGTTAGCTATTTAAACTGCAGAGACGTAGCAATACAAAAATCCAATTTACAATTAAATATATATAAAATATTATGTTTTAAAGACACCGGTTTAAAAAAATGTAGTAAAACGAGAGACATTCAAAGCAATCACACGCAAAATATATTTACTGTCACTGACAGGGACCTGCACATTTAGACATATAATGGAACTATATTGAAAAAATCACAATTAGTTTCATTGCCTTCTTTAAAGCAGAAACATGCATTAACTTCATTGAAGTATTGGTAAGCTTGTATTGGAACTGCTCTGATATTAACAATGCTTGCGATGTTGAACGTATTACCGTATAGTTCCACAAAGATCGTCTACGATGATGAACATCGACATAATCATCTAGATTGAACAAAAAATCCTTGTAATCACTTCTGCGTATTCTTCTTCGTAATATACATTCTTAAATATACTTACGGATACATGGATACAAAAAATGCACCTTAACAACCATTAATTTAAATACCTCCTTACAAACGTGACTTGCCTCATCTGTAGTAGTTTTGCATCGCATCTGGAGCGAATGGTTATTGCTAGTAAAACTATGGCATACAAACTGATGTTATATAATTTAAAGTAGGCCTTTATTTGTACCTAAATTAAACTATATAGTATGATTTAGCATATGAGATACATATTGGATGAACCAAAAACCTTGCGCAAGATACAGATCTCCAAGCGATTACCAGGAGAAGTTTAGAACTCCGCCAGGCCCGAAACTGGTCAAGTACCGCAGACGATTCAGGCGCCTGGGGTGACAGGTGAGGCCATCCCGCGCTGTGGAGCGCGGGCGCCTTCTCGGGGTGAAAAAGGGAACATCGAGGTTCCCACACAGGAGGGGGTTATCTACAAGGCGTAAATGGCCCAAGGTACATCTGGGTACCAGGGATTTCCTTTCTAGCGTACATCTGGTTCCCCGGCTACTTACTACGTTTTTAGTCTATACGAGTCTGACATAACCACCCCAAATAACATAAATAAATTTTGCTTTGCTAATTACAATCAATCCTCTATGTTTTTCTTATTGTTCAAAGGTTCCTATACACAATCCTTCTGATTTGTCATGTGTGCAGAAAAAAACCAACTGTTGCTCGATGTGTAAATCAAGACGTCATGTTATATGTAATAACTGCCAGTACAATGGTAAGCAGTAATAATTTTTACGTAAACTTTCTCACTATTTTACCTACCTTAAAGTTAAATAACGGTGACATAAAGCTTATAAGGCCTATAAAATAGTTATTTATTTTATGCAATTTCCTTTGTTGGGACACCTGTTATGTGTTTATTTAGTTATAAACACAGAAGAAATCAATGGAATTAGAAAAATAACGAACACGCTTAACGAAGAATAAAGCACCTGTTAATCAGTTATCATTGTACAATTTGTCAAACATAACTAATTATTTATTGAATAATTTTTCACTAATACGAGAACTTAACCAAGTAGCCCTTACCCGTCCGGGCCTCTACACCTCCTCCTAGTGCCTCCTTAGCTCTAGGATAAATAACCCCCTAATATTTATGAATATAAAAAATAACAGTATTTGAAATGCCAAACTTTGCCTCGTCCATTTAATAGTTTAAGTTAGGTTAACAACTAGGTACTCTTGCTCTTGTAGTGAACTAGATACATGTAACATGACATAGGTAGAATCACTAAGCGTAGTTTGGGCTGGGTTCTATTTTGCAACCTTCGAAACTCCATCTGACCCCTCAGTCATAACATAGTAGGATTACACAAATATACTACTACATCTATGAGTGGAAAATTAAGGAATTAAGAAAACAGTTTGTAATGTAAGAATAATGTAAGATTAATTTTACTTACGCATTGAAATCAAAGATATCTTTTAAAAAGTTAATAACAATTAAATTATTACAGCATCAAACTTAAAATCTATAAACGATGACGATGACTATGTTCCTGAAAAAGAATGTGCTCCTAACAGTAAGAAAGAAATATTATACAGCCAATCTGGAGTTAGTCGTCGGGATATGTCTAGTGGCGATCATTCCAGATCTGTTGAACGTAAGTTATAGATAATCATCTATATATGTATATAATGTATAAAATAATACTTACGTATATTTTTGTAAAAATGTGTAACTTCCATAATGTTTCAAAAAGTTCAAAATACACGCATTGTTTTCACAGTTGTTTTTCTTATATAAGTACAGCTAATTAAATAAGTGTTTTCTAATTTCAGCTTATAAAAGTATTGCAATTAGCAATAACAGACTGATTAAGACTGAACCTGCGTCGATGACTAAGGTTTGTGCAAGCCATTAATTTATAAATTATTTATAAACCTGTACAAATCACAAAATATACTTTCAGGGATGTTCAAAATGTGAACCTGAGACAACGGTGATATACAAAAATGAGAAATTTCACGCCGACCGTTCCAATATAACTTCAGATTATGTCTCTCCTATATATGAATTTACAAAAGAACCGAACTACGAAAGTATTGCCAGGTGATTTACAATAACTGAATATGTGTACATTCATCATTAGTTTATTATGTCCTCTTAATTCTTTTACTTAGTAAACTTTTCCTTACATATTATTTTATAAGGAGCATATTATTATTTTTTTTAATTTTATTTTTTAAGCCTCCTTTCTAAGGAGAGGCCTATGTCCAGCAGTGGAATATTGAAGGCTGTTGATAATGATAGTGATTATTTGATAAACAAACACATTTTATACATAAATATTTTATTATTTATTGATCGTTTTAGACCTGTTGTGTGCCCCATAACAAGTTGTGGTAAAATGGTGACAATTGACTCGTTTTCTCAACATTTCAACTTTGACCATTCTAAAGTTCCAAAATTGATATTAAATAAAAGTGCAACCCAAGAAGTTTTAATAAACTATTCAGCGTTGTCTGAAGAAACGAAATGCGTAGCAACCTTCGTGACATCGCGTGATAAAAGGTTTTTAATTTTTTATTATTTCTTTAGTCGAATGCATTATATTTAGCTACATTTTTTTTTTAAATCAACTATATATATAATGCTATTGAATATAAATCTCTGTTTTGAACCTCTTAAAGCCAATGTGCTAGAAATGACGATTTACGACGGCTGGATAAATAGCTCAACGCTGCTGTCACTTCTTGGCCAGAATTTTAAAACTTAAAGTTATGCAATTATATATTTCAACATACCTATGCATTTTTAATTGAAGTATTGATTTTTAAATTTTAAGAGCAAGGATTCAACTGCTCTACGACCTAACATCAATTTGTAAATAAATATAAGTAAACTTGTGGCGTGTAATTGCACTAATATACTCGTACATTAAGAAATTATTTATTTTAGATCAAGTCATACAGCTTTACGTCGCATAACATCACATACAAATATTCATAATTTCAATAAGGACTGCGATTTACTATTGCTGATGGTTGTAAAAATGGAGACCACACCTACAAAATTTTGTATTCGAAAGTGTAATTCAAGAAATTCTGTTGACAGAAGTTACGCACTGATCAATGATATTCCAAAACGAAATATGCAGGTAATTTAAAAAAAAAAGACATTATCCTATCATATGTGTAACTTATATACAAACCAATTGGCTTATCACCTTCTCTTACTTAGGTTAATGTGCCTCGGGCACGCCGTCATTGCGGCGGTAAGACCCGTTATGGAGGATTGGCTCGAGAGGCGTCACGGGACCCTCTCATACCGATTGACGCAGGTGATCACTGGGAAGGGATGTTTCGGAGATCACCTGTGTCTGATCCGCAAGGAGCCAACGCCTGAGTGCCACCACTGCGATGGCCAGACCGTGGACACGGCTCTCCACACGCTGGCAGAGTGCCCGGCGTGGGTTGAGCAGAGGCGAGACCTCGTGGCGGCCATCGGAGTGGGAGTTCTCTCGCTCGATAGCCTGATTGCGGCTATCGTGCGGAGCGAGAGTGCGTGGAACTCTGCCGTCTCCTTCTGCGAGCAAGTTATGCTCGCGAAGGAGACGGCGGAGCGGGACCGGGAGAGGTTTAGAACTCTCCCGGCCCGCCAGGCCCGGGCACGGGCCAGGCAGCGCAGGCGACTCAGGCGCCGGAGGTCGCAGAACGACCTCCGTCCTCCATAAGCGAAGGCCTGGGGGTGACAGGTGAGGCCATCTGTCACCCTAGCAGAAGCAGGCCGGGGTGGCGGCGAGCGCGTTGCGAAGCAGGGAGCACAGGGAACATGGGGTTCCCACACGGGGAGGGGTCTTCTACTCGTCTGTAGATGACCCGAGGTATGTCGGGGCACCAGGGACTTCCTTTCTAGGGTATACCTGGTTCCCCGGCTATTAGTACCCGGCGAAGGCGTGCGGTTTTGAGTCGGTTCGAGTCCGACATGCCACCGACAGGTGGTATCCGAGGGGATTTCCGGTTAATGTGCCTAAAATGAAAAACTAGTGATTTCTCCGCGCTCTTCGAAATCTCGTACGTAGACTCATAAGGTCGTTTATTTATTAAATTCCGTATGCTCACGTCTTACCACGATTTCTTGTCGAAGTCTAAATTTTACATAATATAAGTTATTTTCAGGATCAATCATCTGTGAGCAAAAGTCAATCTGAAAATAAAATCCGTGTAAATAAAGGTATCAATAAAGACGAGGACGAAGTTATATTACTGTGGTTGTGCAGACTTAAGGATAAAACCACAGTTTACACGGTAATTAATTTAGCTAAAGTAATTATTATTATTATTATTTGTTTAAAAAGACAACTCCTGTAAAAGGAACATATCCTGTGTCAAGGGGGAATTTATGTATTTCTTTTAATGAAAATTGTAACTCTAGAACATCATAGCCATGTCTTTCTTTATTACTAATAAGTATAAGCGTAGTCTATTTTGGAGAGATTTTTATTTGTGAAGAAATAATGACAAAAAACAATTGACAGTGAGTGGCATGTATACAAGTATTTCTGAGACAAATCTTCGCTACAAGCCCAATCGAAATAGACCTTTAACTTTTACCGTTCTAAAACTTGTACAAAATTGTTTTGAGTAAGCATTTTATTAAAAAGTACATAGGTTATTGTCATATCATCCATACTGATTTTTTATTAGGAATTTTATTTTATTTTCGATGATTTTCAGGCAGAATTAGTACCAGAATTACCAAAAGGTGTCCCTAAATATATGAGATCCTATATCATCTTAAGTTATAACACCTAGAATGAGTCACTAGAATATTTATACAACTTATATTTACACATGTTTTTAGATAAATGTATCGAGAGAAGACAACCAACAGGGCTATAGTTACATTGGCGACGCTGTCCATATTAGAAACGAACAAGATCCCATTTCTATTTACAACAGCACAGAATGCCTTTCATTACGGGGAACAGCTATCAAAAAATTAGTTACGGCCGAGAGAGAATTGAAAGTTAAAGTTAGTACTGTGCAATAAATATTAAAAGAAATAAAAACTAAGCGTCTTTTATTAATCTTTAATTATTGAAAATATACAATTAAAATTGTTCACAGTACTTGTCCGCTTCCAAATTAGTTAATACGTCACGAATTTTTCTCTCCTTATCGAAGTATACGTGAACTTTGTCCTTTCCACATTTCTCAGGACCTTTTAATTCATTTTGATAGTAAATTTCAAAATCAGGTCTTGTTTTATCGCCCTTGTAACGATTAATGCTCTCTTTTCCTTTAGTAAGAGTATTCAATGAATTCAAAATACCTGCTGAAAAGTCAGACTTTGGACTTAGTAGATCCGTTATCTTTGGGGAATTATTATCTTTTGAAAACTCTGTTCCTGCAGGCGCGGTTGTTGAATCAACAATTTTTAGGCTTTTTAGTTCTACTCTGAAACCAATTTAAATTATCAAGAATAAAAGATGTAGATAAAATCAGAGCGTCTCATAAATTTTGTTTCTTAAATTTTTACTTTAATGACTAAGGCGTTTTTACAAATCAGGTTGTTTAAAACAGTATTCCATGTGTTTACATAAATATTATACAAGTTGGGTCCGATCCAGTAATCAACAGCACGACGCCTAGCTATTATAATCCTGAGTACTCTTAATTAATTTAATAAATGCAAGATTGGGTAGATTAAATAGTTTACATGTCAGCTTAAGTCTTGAACTACTTAACCGATCATCATCAAATATGATTCCTGAATAACTTCAATACCGAGAGATCAAGGATTAATAATAAATCAATATTATAATGTAGTGCAAAGGGCAAGTCGGTTTTGGTGGCTGCTCTTAACCCGGAGATTCTTAGCACCCCCCGCCCCGCCGTTGCCGTGGTCACCACCATTACCAGGAATAGCGGGGCTACTCGGGAACTAGAGGCCATGGCCTTTGTTGCGTCTGCATAGGGAGATAGCTGGCAGGGGCTGGATGCGAGAAGCTGAAAATCGATCTAGCAAGGAGAGGCCTATATCTAGCAGTGGACTGCGACAGGGATGATAATGTAGTGAAATAATTATTTTACTCAATTTTCAATATATAAAAACCTGTACTCAAAGGGTCGGAGGTCCAAGGAAAGTAAATAAGCTTACCCATAGCTAGCATCATCAGCAAAATACTTTACTTGAATGGGATTACCGTCTTTGTCAATGTAAGAATATCTACCAATGATCGTTCCGTTAGGGTAACGTTTTTCTTCGTTTACTTCACCATCTACTGCTCGTTCAGGCTTACCGGTTGGATAGGCCGCTGTAGTTAAAAATATACATCTAAGTTCTGAATGCTACTATTAGTTATAGTCATCAATGGAATATTATAAAATACGCTTGGCGGTTAAAATTCTAGCGTTTTTTTATATAATATTTCGAACATCTAACACACAACGCCATCTAGTTTGAAACTAAGCAGAGCTTGTATTACGAAAGCTAAATTGACTGATTTAATACTTTTATACTTCTTTTTGGAACTACTTATATATTATACATCGAAAACATCCAACATATATGGTTTTGCCGGGGTCGCTCAGCTGGTGATCTTCTCGTCACACCGGTGGGCACAAGCGATCGAGACCAAAGGAGAGGCTTGTGCGGTTAGTTTGGACATAGCGAAGGCCTTCGATCGAGTCTGGCATAAGGCGCTTCTCTCGAAGCTCCCTTCCTTTGCGCTTGCCGAGAAATTGTGTAATTGGGTCAGCAGTTTCCTTGTGGACAGAAGCATTAAGGAAGCGTTGTCGACGGTACATGCTCCGACTTTAAATTCGTAAATGCTGGTGTCCCACTAGGCTGTGCACTATCACCCACACTGTTTCTTCTGCATATCAATGACATGTTGCAAACTAGTAGCATCCATTGCTATGCAGATGATAGCACGGGAGATGCCCTTTACACCGGCCGCCCCAATATTTCTCGGGAAAACGTTGTCGAGAGTCGAAACAAACTTGTGTCTGAAATTGAAACTTCCTTAGCGGAGGTGTCAGAAAGATGGCGGAAAGTTATGGTATTTAGTCCGAACAATTCCTCGAGTCGATCGGAGGTGTTTGGGCTATCGACGATTCGAGTCGCTTTTTGTTGGATGGAGGCTGTTCGTCCAGAGGCAGAAGCTGATACTGAAGTATCCCTGCAGTATTCCATATGCGGCCGCACTTGCGCTTTATAGAGCTGAAGGCGGTGGGCCGGAGTGAAATACTGACCTTATCCTCTAAGTGACCCCGAAACTGGACTTCGCTCGATATGTTGGCTCAGGCAGTTAGGGATGTGCTCTCAAACCGAGGTGTTACGATAAAAGGTATCTTCTCTGCGGTGAACGCACATACCCGTGTCTTTTTTGGATTGAACTGGACTGATTTAGTAGGCCTCAATCTAACACTTTTTTTTTTTTCGTGTGGAAACCCCCTCGGCCCGTCACCCCACCGGGGTTTGCGGCGGGGTGGTGTAAAGGTGTAAGGTGGTGTGCCAACTAAACCCACCACACGGTGTGCCACTCTGCGCTTGTAATATAAGGAATCCGGGAACTGCTGGCCGTTATGGCGGGTGGAGGGGAAAACCCGTCCCGTCCACCCGCGGCCATACTCAGGGCGGCATGAGGCGGTGGTAAGCGCGCCTCCGCCGTCCGGTTCGCCGGCGATGGATAAGGTCCGAGTGGACGTTGTCCTCCCGGGCCCTCGCCGCCGCCTCCTTCTGCAAGATGATGTCTTCGCAAAAGGATGCGACCGTGGTGAAACATCTGTCACTACCGGCCGTGGAGCGTATGACGGCCGGTAGCGAGAGATCCTCCCCGATGACTGCAATTGACCCCGGCGCTGCGGCGCCAAAGCCGGGCAAATTCCCAGCGTGTGCTGAGCCGAGTCCTCACTGCAATCCCAGTGGTGACAGGCGGGACTCAACTCCCTCCTAGCGACCGAGTGCAGGTACTACCCAAAGTAGCCGTGCCCGGAATGGACCTACGTCAGCCGGAAGGAAGGGGTCCCGTGCTTCCACACTGCCCACTCGACGATGACCGGCCGGAGCGCCTCCACGGCGGCAAAGCCAGCACGTGGAGCCTCCAGCCGGGACGACCAACGAGCCATCGTGGCTCGACGAGCGGCCTCACGCCATTTTCGTATCTCTTCGAGCGGGGACGGACTGCCCCGCCTCCGCCCGAAGAACCGCCCGGAACTCAGTCTTCCGCCGATATACTTCGGCGAGCACTTCCGCCTTCAAATCCCACGGAGGGAATCCCACGGGCTCGAAAACCGAATATGTGGGCCACATATAACAGCATACTAGCCATGATTGCAGAGAGGTTGGATTGCAGGTATATAGATCACTGCAGCGCCGTCTCTCATGGAGTGCATAAATTAATTAAGGAAATCGTCTCTACTAACATAGGATAAGTTTTATATAATAGTAACAAGCAATGAGTCATGTTAAAAAATATTATTATAATCACCCACTGGTGCGTGGTATCCGAGGGGAGTACCGCACAGAAAAAAAAAAGCTGTACTGCTTTACCTTCATACTCAATCATTATTAGTGTATAGCAGCCGATAAAATTATGTATTCGCGAAACCAGAAAACGTTTTTGTTTGGTGGATGTTTGGCGATTGTGAAAACTTTATGGGTTAACGAAGTTTCAAATGTCCATGCAATTATGAGCCACTAACAGTTTATCAATTGAAATATGCTGAGTCTGGCAAATTTTAAAAGTATTTTTCTTACTCACAAGCCACAGCTACAACACCAGTAACTAGTAAAAACCGAATCATGGATTTAGTACATTTATAGTGCCCCATTTGTCTCGATTCCAATATAAATAAAATTCACATAGAGTAATAATAACACATTAATGCCCCTATATGTCAAAATTGACAAACCGAAAAATAATTTATGGTAGGTATCTATGCAGTAAAATGTCACAGCACAAGGGTATAACAAAAGAGGTGGTAATAATGCAGAAAATAACAAACGACGTTTGAGAAAATATTTACGAATAAACAGATCACATTTTGAATAACCTGTAGCACAGTTACAGGAATAAAAGACAAGAAATAAAAATATTGGTGCAGTAAGCAAATAGGTAGTATGTATTTAATTTTTAATTGTATTTAACAATCTGCTAATTTTATACATTTCTTATTCCAAATTCGAAACTAATTAAAGGTAGGTATCAATTTTCATTATTAATAATAAATGTATTAGAAATAAATAATTTAATAAATAAATTAATAAAACTTAAATGGTAATCAATAAATGCTTCGAATTAGGAATTATAGGGAAGAATATAGGAACGATATCTATAACTTTTTAATCCAGTACCTATTATATTTTCACCTAATGTAGTACTTGATATTTTTTATGTTTTCCTGTACTCATTTGTTTGTAAATAAGGTAACAAATCTGTGTGTGACAGTAAGTCGTTACCCCATTTCAACAAGAAAAAGCTGATTCTTATTTTTTGCTGTAAATTTAGTTATTATGATTGATAAATGGATTTGTTTCATGAGATATGAGTGATTGAACAACATTTGCAAATGCTGTTACAAAATTATTAGAACTTAGAATTTGGTTTTTGTTAGGTTTTTTAGGTGGGCGCGTCCATGATATAGATGGGTCCACGTGTTCAGTGGAGTAGAAAGGCTTCGGAGCAGGCGGGCCTGTCGTGGCTCTGTCTGAAAATACCCTAAAATGGAAAATAATATGTCTTATAATTTTTATAATAAAATCTTATAATTATTCTTAACTCTTGCAGGCTAGTAGAAAGTAGTAGTAGCAGTTCGAACATTAATTCGATTTCGTGCAGTTAGACGATCCGTGTGTTTTTATCAGATGAATAAGTTTTCAAGTTTCTTTTAAGTTTAAAAGATGAGCTAATTTACTGTCTACCAGCCAATACATTGAGAACCACGAAATATGCGATAGTTTTTTTAAAATGTTTTATCTATTCTTTTAAAATATTTCATTCATGTTATAATAAATATTTTTTTGAAAAATATATTTAAAATCGCATTAAAAAATGCAAAGCCTAAGAGAAGTTTATCTTGAAATGTCATTAACACTTTGAAAATAAAATCATTACCATTAGTATATTTTTTATAGTTATACTTTGAATTTTTATTAGCATCCATAAATATGTAGAAATAAACATTACCATGATAAATTCTTAAAATGAATTTAATGATCACATTTACTTTGCAATTCATGTAACCAGTAAGTACAGTTTGGCTGTAATGGAATATTCATGTTCTCGGACGAAAATTTATAACTTTAGAGACTCGTTAACACGGTTAAAACCACCAAGTTATTACACTGACGAATTCTCAAAGGTCATCCAGCTACGTATTTATTGAACGTTACAAAACAAATTACTGTATGAAATTAGACAGCCTCTTATCTTTACATTAACAATATATAAACTAACGATACAGAAGTACTTTTCTCTCATAAAAGTCACTATTCAAGCAGCGTAAAACTTTACAGAGCCTCTATTAAAACATCGACTTTTGTAATTTTTCTAATTTTTGTAAACTAAATTTGTAAGTCTTTATACCATAAGTATATGATAAGTTAATCTGTCACTCGTCTAATTTTTTTATAGAAATATTAAAGAGATCTTATATTAGATTGAGATTTAAGTAAGTTTATAGACGAAGAATTGGGAATACTACATTGTAAATTAAAAGCATACAATAGCATCTACACGTTGCGACTCATCATACATCTATCATGAAATATACACAAAGATATAATACTTTTACCTGTATCCACCTTCATCAGCGATATATCTGTATTTGCGAGGAATGCCCGAGGGATCTACATAGCCATAGTGGCCCGTTACAGTTCCATTAGGATGTCGTTGTTCTGAACGAAATTGATTATTTCCAGTTGCTGAATCTGATACGTCGTACCCAAACTCATATACATTTGGATTTCCTGAAATTATACCAGAATTACATTAATGCCTTACGATATTTTTATTAGTCTTGACTTTTGGTAGGTATAGAAATAAAAAATGGTGGGCCCAGGTCATGTGATTTATATAAATATTACCAAAACTGCCAGTGGCAATGCTATTTTTTATAAGCTATTACCATTTAAGTCTTAAAGTTAATTTTTAACATACGTAGTAAAAAGAAGAAAAAGAAAAGAAAAAGAACTAAAACGAAAAAAATTACAAGATATGTGATGACACGCAATTACAGGTCTCATCGATCGCGATGAAGCCAAAATGACAGTCATCTCATCATTCATACAGCCGACGCCTGAAAGAAATATTCTAAATAAAATTTAAAACTCACCACCGATGTTGCTGTAGTAGTAACTAGGCATTTTTTCTGCTAGAGTTAACCTCTTTTGTCGTGGTGCTGCCTGTATCATCATCAGCCATGACACTGTCACAAATATCTATAAAATGTATACAATATTAAACAAATATAATACACGCTGTACTCATATGAACTCACTTTTTGTGTTTTACTCAATCATAAGAAAGTATACTGCACACTCCCGATTCTAATAAGCGGAGTATTAGTTCTTTTTGCCGTAGGCAACTTGATTAAGCTTTTTCTGCTGGATGACAGCACTTATTTGAAAACCTTATAAGTTCATGAAGGAACAGCTCAGTATGTAGGACTTAATGAATAAGAAGGTGTAAGTCAAGCTACTATATTTACACTGCAAATAATTATCTTTATTTATCCTTATAAACATTTTCAGTAACCTATCCTATAATGTAATAATAAACTAAAGAAACTAGCAAGTTCTGGTGAACAAGAAAAATGTCCAAAACAATGATTAACAAAATAATAATCTCATGGAATTGATATTCCCATCACATTCCTAGTTAATGTAATGGGTGTCTTATTTAAGGTCAATTCCGAATCAACATACCAGACACCTTTTACCCTTAAGTCCATAAATGTTTTTAGTTACACTTTTTTTGATTAAACCATTGCAAAAAAACTGTGTGGTCGTAAGTCTAACGTTCATACAACTTTTTCGGCAAAAAGAAACAGTAAAATAAATGTATTTTCTAATTTATGATGTAAGTTAGAATACCGACGAGCTTATCTACATAAGCCTTAGTGAGTTATGTATCCTATTAGTCAAAAGTCTAAACGGTACGCGTATTATGATTGTAATTAATCATATGTAGTTAATGAGCAGTGGTTTTAGTAGTTACTGGTTTTTTTTTAATTTATATCTACTGATTTGTAACTTCTTAAAAGCTGTAAAAAACTAGATATAGACTTCTCTAGAAATAGAGGTTTTTCTGTAGTAGGAGAAAGTAAAGAATTATTTTTCGTATTTTTCCCAAAATAGCTTAAGCTTACTGAACTTTAGAGATACGGAGACCAATTTTCATCTTTTTTCTTAAATAACTTATTCAAATAGTTGTAATCTTAAAATCAGAAAGACTAAACGCCTTCATAATTTTTAACCTGATTCAAACAATGTAATATCTGAATGTATTTGACTGCACGGATGGCCTAGTGGTTTAAGTGGTCGCCACGCCGCTTCCCAATGCGCCGAGTGTTGTGGGTTCAAACCCCACATGGGACGATACTTTGTGTGATCCACAAATTGTTGTTCTGAGTCTGGGTGTTCTTTGTGTCCGTTTCATGTATGTTTGTAAAGTCCCCCGCGACACAGGATATATTCCTAATGCGGGAGTTCTCTTTTTGTAAAAAAAAAAAATCTATGATGAGCCCTGTTTCTGTAGGTACCTACATACCTAATTAGATATTATGGAACGGGCCACTTTTAAGGTTAGTAATTTATTTCTTTTATCACAGTATTTGATATGTGTAAGAAATTTCAACTAAATCAGTCTATAAAATTTGGAGCAAATAGGTTGTTACAGAAGAACAGACATGCACACATAGTTCTAGAAATAATCCTATGGTTTTTTTGAGCCTGAGCCTTCCGTTAGACGGAGCTTCTCAAAAAAGAGACGTTTTCAGGAAACTTTAAAGATAAAATTCTTAATGAGATCGTCTGACGGAGAAGTAAAGTTACTTTAATAACAATAGACTGGTCAAGTCTGTCGAAGGTACAGTGGATGTTAGAGCAAACGGGTTCTAGAATGGAGACCGTAAATAGGTTGATTGGCTAAAACCACCACCATTTTAGGGTACTAGGTGTGCCATGGTATATCAATAACCAAAATAGAATGTCATATTTTTGTAGAACAACTATGCGACAGTGCAAACATTTTTGCATAGCGGGGTGAGACAGGACAGCTAGCCAAACAGGTTATATTTCCTTAAAAACTTGTTGCAAAAAGGTGAACATACAAAAACGGACCTGAATACTTTTATGAATTCGAAACAAAATGAAATCTTTATTTTTATTTTAGCAACATCTTATCTTTTTAGAAGTTTTCTCTGATTTTCAATTTTTGTCCATACAACACTTATTTTTCCCCTTTATACAAAGCACACCACACCAAATGGTAATTAGTTTTTAACTTTAAACAATGACTTCAAAACGTCTGACAATTCAATGAAAATAGTAATACCTACTGATCGAATTAATTCCACTAATTGATAAATTCTTACATTTTATGGTGTGCGAAGGATTAAGAATCAGTAATGATAGGAATGTTGCTCTAGTGGTTAGTGACCCTGACTGCTAAGCCGGAGGGTGTGGGTTTTGATTCCCACCCAGGACAAATATTGTGTGATGAGCACGGTCTTTTGTACTGTGTCTAGGTGTAAATTTATTCATAATATATATCTATTTAAAAATATATAGGTATGTTTATCAGCAGTCTTTTTACCATAGTACAGGCTCTGCCTAGTTTAGGATCAGACGGCCGTGTGTGTGATGTGTGAAATCATTATTATTATTTAATAATAAATCCAAAATAATAATAAATGTTTTAATTCTGTAAAATACGTTTAGTATAATAAAAATAAATAGCAAAATAAAAATACGTTATTCGCACTAAGGTTTACAATGAAAAATTTTTTTGGTATAAGGTAATAAAACAATATTTAAAAATATAAAATGTTAAACTAACCTTTAAAAATATCTCCATGTTTCTTCAAAAGTGACTACAAACAATATTGACGCACCGGTAGGAATATGTATCCACTTGCAGACTTCGTCCACGTGAATGAACATATTTATTCACCTCTCCTTTAAGTTGTTAGTGAAATACAGCTATGTAGTTTACTCGTAAGCTTTAGTGGGTGAAGGCAATTTCACCCGTATCTGTACCATGATGTCATAGTACCATGATAGGATGACTTATTACCTTAAAAGTGATGAAAGTCAGTCACACTAAATCTTTAGGAGTGGATAGTTTATTGAATTGGATTCGTATGAGGAAGCTACTTAAATGGATATATTCGATTAGTTTGATGTCCAAATTGAAATTTATGAAAAATAAATGACTTAATTTATCAAATCAAAACTCAAAGGAAATAGAGTTAATTGACTGCGCTGATGTCTCAGTGACTGAGTTGAACGTTCAATGTTGTGTATCGGATCCCTGCAAGGAATAATTCATGTGTGATTTATAAATTATTTGTATTAGAATGTTTTCTTACCGCTTATTTATATCTGCATTGCCTGTGGCGGTTGCCACACTCAAAGGGACACAAGCCACACAAATAGGGATCTATACTCCGAGTATCGTGGTACCCTTAAATATACAATAAGTACGATACCCGATATAGATTCTTGATGCAGGTGTAGTAATTTATTACAAGAGTGAACCTCTTAAAATATCTAGGTCTGGTCTAGGAGCTGGCGCCCTGGAGATGGTTGTGTTGTCTTGATGGTGCTAACTGACATCAAACGGGTGGGCCTGCCAGTATAAACTAGTAAATTGGACTTAGATATGTTTATAGTTAACCAACCATTTATACTTATTTATGTCGAAACATAACCATAAAACCTATTTATTTATATATAAACATATTAAATGCCAGCAATAAAAATAAGCAGAAGTTAAATGCTAATATAGATAAACCATCACCACAATAAATAGAATAAAAGTGGCAACAATGTTTATGTTTTTTGGCATTTCAATTATTTTTGTTTCACAGAAAGAGGCCTGTAGTGTATAAAAGTGAGGCCATAAAATTACTCATAGGGGCATCATCTTCAATGGGCATCACCCACACAGAACAATGCCTCTTTGGCAAACGTTTCACTAAAAAAGTATCAAACGGTTTCTTCCCGCATCCTCTGTTTTCCTAATAACTCTGATAATAAATAAGATAGTAATCAAATAGATGATTAACAAGTACAGTATTATTTAATATGGTTATTAATTAACATGGTTATTTTAAGTTTTAGACTGATAACGACCACTCTAGAATCAATATGTTAGAGATTCATTCATTAAATAAATTTATGTCATAATTAAATATAGGTATAATACAACCTTAAATATTTATTATGTTGGTTTTCTCACAACTCATTACTTTTTAGTTTTATTCACTAAAAGCCGGTAATTAAGCTGTAGCTCATAAAGTAATGGCACACCTTAATAAAGTCATCAAAGTTTATTGAACTTATAACATTTTATAGAAAATGACATTCTTAATATCGCCAATTTTAATGTCGTGATTAATGGATTGAAACAGGTGTAAATGTCTACTTATAGCCACATTGTGATTTAAACTTATAGAGATCCATAAATAAATCTCAGATTCAACAGGTAACGGTTAAATCTCAGTTCCGTGAAAAAAGTTTTGCACGATTATGTGATAACTCATATAGAAACGAATAAAATATTGGAAAGACAAATAGGGCTCATGGTACTTCTGCTGAAATGTGGAGGTCTGAAAACAGTACTTGTTTAGCGTTGTGTCATATCGTATAGAGTCTAGACGCGTCTGCTTGAAAATACAATCGGGAGCAATGGGCAAATGATATTGCTGGTGAGAACCAACTTATTATGAGGTAATGATATCGAATATAACGTGATATTGGAGACTATTACCGCCATATACACTTGCATCTCGAAAGTCACAAGTGTGTTGCCAGCCTTTGAGTGAAATCCCACCAGAATTGTGATTTGGGTAAGCTCACCCACTTGGTCTCACTATTTTACCATAATTTATTAGGCGCTGGTTAAATTGAACAATTAGAAGGACTGCTAGAGATACTAACCTAACCACAGCCAAAGAATTCTCTCTCTTATACTCATGATCTTTTCTCTTATATTTGTATTAAAATAAACATGACCTGTCATGATTCCTTGCCTGTAGCCTTGATAAAGGAATCGATCACTAGATCTTGACTAGACTTGAGGACGATACTTGAAATTTCTTATTATTTTTATTCTAAGTAGAATGAAAGATCGTTACACTAGCACTTAGAAATCATTTATGATAATTATCTGGAAATCATTTTTAGATTAGCTTAATCTTGTTAGGCAAAAACACGTTTCGCTTGTTTGCTCTGTATATTGAACTAGGCGTTGCTATTGTTTTAGTGAATACCTAATCTATATATATAAGAGATTTCCACGTATATAGTCACTCATCACGATATCTCTGGAACCATTATTATTAATAAATTTATTTATTATTAATTATATTTATTATTATTAAATTTGGTAGGAATATTCTTTTCACCGAGTAGAGGTCAGCTAAGAACGGAATTAAGAAATTAAAAAAATAAAAATAATTAAATAATGTAAATAGCAAAACAACGTTTGCAGGGTCAGCTAGTAAATAATAAAGTCAACATAATATCCGAAGTTGATTTTGACCCAAATCAAAACGGCGAATTAAATTGAAACTTTACACACTTATCAAGCACCGATGACAACACATCAATTTGATACATTTGGCCGATTATCCTGATCAGGATCTTCAGAATTAACGGATTTTTCCATACCTAAAAATACGGTAGTGTCTAGTGCTGAAGCAGATGTGACTTACTTGTTACTCTTTTAGTCTAATGAGATAATAATCATCATTAATGACAAAAAAAGCAAAAATAAATTAGAGTAAAAAAAAATTGCTTTTGTAACTAGCCGAACTAAATAGTAGAACATAATTTGGTAGGTTAGGCGCTTTTCAAGATATTTTAAAATATTATAACTTTACTATTACTAATATCTGTCAAGAAAACTAACTAGGGAACTAACTACGCAGAACAACAGCTCTGCAAAGAGAAGGAAAACTTGAAACAAACCTTTTTTCTTTTTTTTTTTTTAACATGTGGAAATCCCCTCGGACCGTCACCCCACCGGGGTTTGCGGCGGGGTGGTGTGTCGGACTCGGACCGACTAAAACCACACGGTGTGCCACTCTGCGCCTGTAATAGGAGGGATCCGGGAACAGCTGTTGTTAAGACATCCGGACCCCTCCTAGCGCCTGCCCGCTCCTGGTGCGGGCTCCGTCTCAAAATTTTAACCTCTCTTTAGGCGACGTCCGGCACACGCGGACGCCGCCCCTTCGCGGCTGGCCAAACTAATGCGGGTGGAGGGGAAACCCACCCCGTCCACCCGCGGCCACACTCAGGGCGGCATGAGGCGGTGATAAGCGCGCCTCCGCTGCCCGGTTCGCCGGCGGCGGATCGAGTCCGAGTGGAGGTCGTCCTCCCGGGCCTTCTCCGCCGCCTCCTTCTGCGAGATTACTTCCTCGCAGAAGGTTGCGACCGCGGTAAAACAACTGTCGCTACCGGCCATGGAGCGTACTACGGCCGGTAGAGAGAGATCCACTCCGATGACTGCAGTGAGGGCCCGGCGCTGCGTCGCCCATGCGGGGCAGACCGCCGGCGTGTGCTGGGCCGAGTCCTCACTGCAGTCGCAGTGGTGGCAGGCGGGACTCAGTTCCCTCTTAGCGACCGAGTGCAGGTACTTGCCGAAACAACCGTGCCCGGAAAGCACCTGCGTCAGCCGGAAGGTAAAGGTCCCGTGCTGCCGCCCTGCCCACTCGGCGATGACCGGCTGGTGAGCCTCCACGGCGGCAAAGCCAGCGCGTGGAGTCTCCAGCCGGAACGACCAACGAGCCATAGTGGCTCGGCGAGCGGCTTCGAGCCACTCGCTGATAAACTTCGGCGAGCACTTCCGCCTCCAAATCCCACGGGGGAGTTCCGGCCAACGCGCAAGCCACCTCCGTCGAAACGGTGCGGTAACCGCGTATGGCTCTGACCGCCAATACCCTCTGAGGGCGGTCAGAGCCGCCGCCCACACCGGTGCACCGTATAGTGCCATTGACCGGACAACCCCCGTGTACAGCCGCAAAATCGCCCTAGGGCAGACGCAGCGCCGACCAGCTTTGGAGCAAGCTGTCGGAAGTGCTCGTCGTAGAGCCACCTCCCGTCGAGGATCAGGCCCAGATATTTCATCTGGGCCCGAACCGGTACGAGGACCGAGTTGACCACGATTGAGGCGCCAGGGGGTGGACCACGACGGGGCCCATGAAATAAGAGGGCCTCCGTCTTATCTAGGGCCACCCGTAAGCCCAGCGCCTCAATGCGCCCGACCACCAGGGAGACTCCCCTTGTGGCCAGGCGCGCCGCCTCTTGGAAGTTCGCCCCCCGGGCTGTCACCGGAGTATCATCTGCGTAACAAATTACACCCACCACGGGGGGGAAATCGGCTCGAAGGGCCCAGTCGTACCCTATGTTCCACAAGAGGGGTCCAAGAACAGACCCCTGTGGTCCTCGTACACGACGGTACGCCCCCATAAATAGTCTGCCACTAGCCGCCTCAGGTACTTTGGCACCCCATGATAGTGGAGTGCATCCCTGATGCAGCTGAATGGCAGACTATTGAATGCGTTGGCGATGTCCAATGACACCGCCAACAGCACGCCGCCACAGCTCACGGCCTCTTCGGTCACGGCCCTCAGGCGCAAAACAGCGTCGACTGTAGAACGCTCCGCCCGAAAACTTGAAACAAACCCTATACCAACCCGTCTGGCCAGCGTGGTATAGTAGGCCAAAACCTCTTTTCTAAAGAGAGGCCTATGGCAGCAGTGGACTATTGTTAATGATAATGATGATGATGTCAAGAAAATATGTTTACAACAATTGAGATCTAGCACCCAACGCATTTTTACGATAAAATATTTTTTCTTTTTGAATTTATAGAAAATAATTTTCTATTTTTTAGTTTGACTAGTTACAAAAGCGAGTTTTTTTTTGGGTTTTTTTAATTATAATTTATTAGAACTTACTACTTGTAAACATATAACTATCAAATATGAAAACATATGGATCCACATAAATTGCAAAATTTTAAAAACTCTGAAATACTGTACCCTTTATAACATTGCAGGAGTTTTGTTACACTGGTTTATATTATTTTGGCGTCGTTTATTTTTTGTATCATCATCATTATCATCAAAGGCCTTTAATAGTCCACTGCCTGACATACCTAGCCTACCATACCACGCTGGCTAGACGGGTTGGTATAGGGTTTGTTTCAAGTTTTCCTTCCTTTTGCAGTGCTGTTGTCCGGCGTAGTTCGCTCCCTTAGTCAATTCTTACGACACCCATGGGATGAATAGGGATGGTGACACTTCGTATTCATAATACGTCACCACAAGGTTAAATTAATTTTAATTTCTGCATTATCAAATTATTTTATTTATTTGCATGACTCGATGTGATAAAATTTAGTTTTACTAGTTATTTAGTGAAAATAGGCTCATGCATAGCGCTTAAAAGTATACTCAATTTCTCTTCTTTTTCAAAAAATAAGTTTGAAATCGTCTTTTATTTAGACTCTAAACTCATAGATCAACACACATAAAATCAACAATCTATTTTATAGTATATATATAATTTTATAGTAGTGAGTAGAGTAGTATAGTAGTGAGGAGAGAGTAGTTTATAGTAGTCATTATAATCCGGTTGGTAATTTATACGAGTACATATCTATGTACTCGTATAAATTCTTACGTATCTACGTAAGAATGTATTACATTTGTAAGATTGCTTAATACTATTATTTGACGGGCCTGTTGGTCTAGTGGATAGTGATCCTGACTGCTAAGCCGGAGGTCGTGGGTTCGATTCCCACCCAGGACAAATATTGTGTGATGTCATTTGTTCTGTGTCTGGGTGTAATTTATCTATAATATGTATGTATTTAAATATATATAAGTATGTTTATCATCAGTCTGGTTACAATAGCACAGGCTCTGCCTAGTTTGGGATCAGAGGGTCTTGTGTGAGATGTGTTATGTATTATTATTATTTATTATATTGCCAAAAGAAAACCCCTGAATGAAACAAAAATACAAAAATAATTAGAGCATTTTTTATTAGGTTTAAAATGGATACATTTCAGTTTGACAAGAGACGAGGATGTATAGTAAAAAATGAAATACAATGTTTATGAATTGAGATCATGGATAATGAAAGTAGATGGTTATAGAAACGTCATTTGGCAGATTGTGACACCTAATACGAGTACAATGAAATTCGTAGATCAAACCATAAATCGAAATAAATGTGCCCATTTAATCAGAAATAAATTAATATCGTTTGAAAATTGAAGCATAAATCGAAATAAATGTGCACATTTAATCAGAAATAAATTAATATCGTTTGAAAATTGAAGCATAAATCGAAATAAATGTGCACATTTAATCAGAAATAAATTAATATCGTTTGAAAATTGAAGCATAAATCGAAATAAATGTGCACATTTAATCAGAAATAAATTAATATCGTTTGAAAATTGAAGCATAAATCGAAATAAATGTGCACATTTAATCAGAAATAAATTAATATCGCTCTTTACATTTGAGCAAAGATGCAAAGCGATACAAATACAATATTTAAATACAGTTAATTGTACTTCAGATGCTACATTAAAAAATGGCAAGTTATTCACTCGTGTGAACAAATATCCACAAACTATTAAACAATAAAACTTTCCATATAAACTTATTACTAATATCGTACTCTCAATGCGTCAAACGTAGTCTAACTTTTAACAAAAATGTCTTTTAACATAACCTCCAAGCACGGAAAAGAGAATTTACTGGAATAGAATTTTATTTTTATTTTAGTTGGTTTTTTAGCAACACAACCATTTGCTAGTAATTTATGTGTGAAAACACTACAAATAATCTAGTAGTGCATTTTAGTGATCGTCAAAGCCACAAATGGACACAATCAAAGCTCTGACAAATTCTCCAAAATGGGGCAGGATGCTGGGTGAAATTTTAGCACAGAAGGATACAACAACAAACAAAAACGAGGCAGAACCACGAAATTTCTGGTTACAATATATAAAAATTCTCCTAATACCATCGCCGTTGGTTGAGTTAAAACACATTCTTGCTACTTTAAAGATACTTTCTAAGTACTTGACCCTGCATTGACATCATACATTACAGACCTCTCCTTGTTTAACTAATAATAATAATTGATTCTACGGCGTATTTCGACAATATATGTGTAGTGAGATGTTCTAGTGCAGTCCGTAGGAGGCAATCGGCCCGTGGGCATAGTGCGCTATCGGGGCCGCCGCGTAGTGAGCAACAGGTGCAGCATGTACCACTTGCTGTGAAAACAAATATATTTTTGGTTTATTATAAATGTGATAATATGAAGCGATGAAATAAATAAAATGTTTACAATTAAATGTTAACAATTAAAATGCTCTAAAAGCACTTTCGAATAACAGATAAAGATGTATGAAGGTAATCGTTATGATAAGAGACTGCTCTCTTTCAAGTTTATTTTACATTTAATATCTTTACTTGCTCTGGCTTCATTCTAATCAGATTTGAAAACAAACCACTAATTTAAATATAATAATTATTCTATTTATTTGTACATCTAAAACTCCATAGATGAATTGATGAACTATAAGAGATAATTTTCTGTATTAGAAAAAAATAATTGAGGATATGAATGATTGCCGTATTTTGCCTACTGGCTGTTCTATCAATTAGTAAAGAAACTATTAATATTTATGGGAATATTAATAGCATTGTGGGAAATTTGAGTAGTTTAACCAAGACATTTCTTAGGTACATTTCCTTATAAGTGCACGCGCTGTGTACCGTTTGCGCAATGGCGCCAGGGACTCGCAATGCTTAGTAGAGAAATCGTGTTTGTGAAATATACAATCTTAACTGGGTATTGACGACAATTGATACTTCCTTATGAACAGAAAAACTTGTTGACTATCAAAATCCCCTAAAAGAGTACCTTTGCCAAGGGATAATTCATTAAACACTTTCTCAAGACATAATGTAGATGAATTCTAAATGGATCAAGGAATGATTATTGTATTTACTTTTCTTACATTTATTTATCGCTTTCTTTTTTTGCTAATCATCCGGTTTTTTTTTTTTTTGAAAATTCTGAATGTTTTGTACATTCTTATTTCAAACATCAAAGTAATAAGTTGTCAAGTTCTTCGGTTATATTTAATGTGCATATCTACTAACTACTAAGTCGGACACAAAACTTACACTTTGTACTGATGTCTATTTTTGTTCGCATTATTACTTACCGGATGAACAGCATGTCCTGACTTGTGCACGACTGCGTTGAATCCGTTATGATCGTCAGCAGAATAAGACACCGTTCTTGTAGATCCGTCCGGTTCCACTAGCGAATAACTGCCTGTAAATATTAGTTATATTGTGTTATAAAAATATAGGAAATAATCTATATTTTTATACCTGAAGTGATTTCGAATACTTAAATTATATATGTACAGCAAATTAAAAGCTGTTTAAAATTTTAAAGTTATCTAAAAACCACTAAAAACAAATAAACGTATTTAGTAGATATGTGAACCTGTCGTTTTACAGAACGTCTACGACACTATGATAGTTCAACTTATACTGGTCATTAAATAAACTAACAACTTTAAGCATTATTGTCACGTTTAAAATTACTATTCATACATAAAGTTATAAGGCTACATAGTTTGAAATTTTGTCTATCCCACAATTTATCGACAAAACTACACACCCGCAGACTTTAGGTCTCTTAGTTTCTTACCAAGCTTTGCAAAACAATACCTTCCTATGTGGTACAATTTCTATAGACATGTAATTAATGATAATTTTAGCAGTATATCGAACATAGGGCAAAAACAGTAGTAAATTACAGTAGTTCGGTAGTCTAGGCAAACAATGCTGCAATTTTGCTAAATTCAAAATGAGTCATATTTGTAGAATATATTAAAAACTATTAAAGACTTTAAAACTTCTAAAGAAATATCTCCATTTTTGAACTGAAACTAACGGTACCGGATTGCCAATAGACGTTTCTTATTATTTATTACCTAAACTACTCATAGAGTAAGTTTTTTATTTATTACTTCATTCACAAATATATACATCGGCGGACTTAAAGCGTAAGGCATTCTCTGTCAGTCGACCGATTGGGCGATGCAGAGAAGGAATAAGGTAGGTGCACTTATGGAGAGGAAATAAATAATAGAATATTAATTAATTATACGCACCAATATATACAAATAAACACATATTTATATACACATATACATAAAAATTACCCCGTTGAATACCCTTCTGTCTACCCTTTATAAAGACGGATAGGATAGAAGACGAATAGAAGGATGAAGACGGGATTGTGTGTATTTTGTATATTTGTATAAAAGTCAACATTTTAAAGACAAGTTTTTGAATAGGTATTTATAGGTACTGAACTGTTATCATAATTTGTATTCGTTATCTTTTAAAATATTATGTTATTCATTCATTTACATTTTCTCCATTACAATTTGCATGAGGCGGACTTCATGCTACATGAACGGACTTCATGCTTCTAAAGGTTGAATGGTAGATAATGATCTACCATTCAACCTTTAGAAGATGGCAAATGCACATGATGTACGACGTGAAAAAAAGAAACAAGCTGTGAACTATGCTCTTATAAATTTAAAATTATAATTAATAATGCTATTTAATTTATTATATATATTATTATTAAGATTTAAAATAAAAAGGAGAATTTAAGGGCTGTAAATCAGAATAGATTTTACCTTTAACCACGTCACCATCACGCTCTTCATGTTGCGACTTCACATCTCCAGTGTGTGGATCTTTCACTCCGTAGTTAAACGCATACTTGGGATAAGACTGCAAAATATTTGAAAATTATTACTTTGGGTATATTATTGAAATTTTTTTTAGGTTTTGCACTCAACAAGGAACCCTTATGGTTTCGCCATGTCAGTCTTTCTGTACGTCTCCGGTTTAGCCAAAAAACGTTTTTGGAATTAATATTTTTTTATAAACTAAATTACTGTATCTTTAAAAAAAATGTTTTATTGCTGATAATATTTATTTTTAAAAATACTGTCAAATGTTTACCAAAACGTTTATCACTCCAGGACTAAATTTCGTGCACTCTGCTAGACTAAACTTAGTCATTGAGCAAAAAAATATAGCGAAAAAAAAAAACAAAACACATGTAATTGATAATTTACACATTTATGTTCAAATATTTTTTATTACAAACTGATCCGTATTAAAATTGGCAATACTAATTAATTAACAATAAGCCTTGTAACTACTAACGTAAATGTGTTATTACACGATATATTGTTATTACGTGAGCGTAATAACTTGATCTGATCCAATACTAAATACCGGCCCCTACCTATTTACAAATAATTCAATAAATTTCTTCGGCGGTACCTTATACCTTCCTTGTCGCTAGTTGTATTTCTACAAATCAAAACGTACCTGCTCAATGGCTCAATGTTATACGTAAGAGGTGTTAAGTCGGTTAAAAAAGGAAATTGAAAGAAGGAGCACGATTAACGAAGGTAAACTTTTTTTATGTTGTAGGAGGGCAAATGAGTAAACGGGTCATCTGATGGTAAGCGACTATCGCTGCCCATGGACACCGACAAATAAAGTATCACAAGTGAGTTCCCCCCCACAATAAGGGGAAGGGGGCGGGATTAGGCTTCTGGATCCTCACTCACTCTATGAAAAGTAACGAAAGCATCTAACGCCGGTTTTCTGTGAGACTGTGGTATCACTCCGGTCGAGCATTTGCACACGTAAAGGTAAATTTATATTCTTAATTGTACAACTGAATATTACCAATTGGAGAATATCTCCTTCGAATACTTCCTCTTAAAATTGCTATTGGTCCAGGATGGTCAAGAAATTAAGAATCGGAATTTGGCATATATTTTTACCATCTGTACAATGTTAAGCGAACTTTACGATTACTCCATAAGGAATTGAGAGATTGATTCCCACTTAGGGCTAAATGTAATTAAGAAATAAAATAGTACTCACAACTGGTTCCGCCTGTATAATAGGTGCATGAGCTATAGGAGCATGAACTAACGGTGCTGCGTGTACGACTGGGGCAGCATGCAGAACAGGAGCTGCATGAGCAAATACCCCACCATATTCAATAGGCACCGCCACAGCCATCGCTGCACTCACACACGCTAACGCTAGTAACATCTAAAAAAAGTTTATTTTATGTTATTTTTAGTATATTTGATCGTATAGGTTCAAATAATTTCTCTCTCGTTGAGGACACAGTTGTTCGAAATGCATGATGCACTATTGTGTGTGTAAATTTTCACAGATTTATGTTTCTGTAGAAAAAAAACAACTGTCGCACTAGGAATATAACCTGTGTCTCGGGGCACTATACAGACATACATGCAATGGACATAAAGACCACTCAGACTCAGAACAACAATTTGTGGATCACATAAAGTGTTGTCCCATGTGGGGATCGAACCCACAATACTCAGCGCAGTAGGAAGCGGCGAGGTAGCCGAACCACTACGCGATCCGTGCAGTCTTAGGTGAGGTTTATGCATAATTTGCCAGGCGAGGGATTATATTATCTTTGTGAAAATACCACCTGTACTTAGATATACCAAAGATATAATCAAAGTTTATTTGCCATTAATGTATAATGGCAAATAAACTTTAATTGGACTTTGATTTGATTTAAACAATTAAATTCATTCTCTTCCAGTCAGCCTTGGGTGGTGTAGAGAACGTGTAAGATAGGCGCAAATAGGTTACATTACTAATCAACTAAAATATACACTATAAAACATTACATACATTAACTAATAAATTCATTTATATATAAGTACACAAACATACATACATAGTGTACGAAAATAATATAAATATATTATTTTCGTACACTATGAAAATACGATTTTTTTGAAGAAATTATGTTCTTCAAGTTCTGTTATAAAAAAAATATATTTATAATGTCTTCATTGTACACACTTAACACGTAACAAAAAGATGAGTTAGAAATAAGTAGACGTAACGCTCATGGCGATCTCTTACACACAACACTAATGCGAATTTTAGGTATTTATAAAATATTTTTAAATAGTCTGTTATTTTTTATAAAACCAAACTCAATTTAATTTATTTAAATTTGTTTTAGAAGATATTTAGCACATAATTTTGATAACTTATAATTTACCGAAAGGCAAGTGCTATTTAGTTAAGAATGACAATCATTTACTTCAGATTTTAATTTAGAAAATATAATTTTTAAAACAAAATTCTAAATAGTCCTTCCTTAACTTACCCACATATTCGTATCAGATGTGCACGGGCGACACACAACTCAATTCTACGTGCGCCCTCACTATCGCTTTATAAATATAAGACCCCACTCTATGCACCTGACTAGATGCACATAATGTGAAGGGACCGATCACGTTAATACATGCTACAATACAATTGTTAGAAGGGTTATATTTTAGGCTTTGTTTACTTTTAACTGGTAGTGTTTTTTAATTCGTTTTTACGTAAGCATATTCATTAGCGATGTTCACTAATTAAAAATCATTCAAATTATTCCTTCGATTAGGTAAACAATATCCACAAGGTGAGTAATCTATTTATAACAAAATGTAAAAATCAAAATCCACTAGCCACTAATAAAGATACGCTGTATTTGGGAACAGGTATATATTGGTTCTGTAATGTAAGATCTCACGCCGATTAATATCAAATACAACGTTGCAAAATCACTCTTATTATTTTATTTCAACGAGGTATAAATCATTAGAACGGAAATTAATAGGTACTCGTAAATAACAAATTACAAACACACTACCTAATACTATAAGACTTGAAATCTATACTAATATTATAAAGCTGAAGAGTTTGTTTGTTTGTTTGTTTGTTTGTTTGTTTGAACGCGCTAATCTCAGGAACTACTGGTCCGATTAGAAAAATTCTTTCAGTGTTAGATAGCCCATTTATCGAGGAAGGCTATAGGCTATATATCATCACGCTAAGAGCAATAGGAGCGGAGCACTAATGAAGAATGTTACAAAAACGGAGTAAATTTATTACTATTGAGAGACGCAGACGAAGTTGCGCGGGTCAGCTAGTAAGTAATAAAAGTATAAATGCAGATATATGTCATTTACTGTAAAACTCCCCTAAAGTGTATTTCTTGTAGGACAGCGTAAAGCAGCATATATAACAATTATTAACTTAGAATAACTATATTTAGCACGCACACACCTAATTTGAAATACATCAATTATTTTTCATTAAGCATGTGTAAATGTCATTAATTGTAAAAAAGGTTATTTTCATAAAGTTGTATCAACCTATAGGATATTGCAAAATGTGGTCCATATGTTGACTGATTATATCGGTCAGTGCATAGTGTTAAATAACATTACGAAACCGCTAAAGCTCTACATTCGATGCACTGTTTTTGTACAGTGCTACTGCTTTCGATCATGGCTCCGCTCTCGTGGATCTAGGATCGTATATGTGTGGTAATAAAGTGTGGAGTAAAAGTAACCCTATTCATTCAAATTTTTGAACAAAAAACATCTTCACTCCCATAGAAAATAAAAGTTAGAGGTTTTACTTTTTTTTTAAATCTCTAAGCAGTATTTTGTATTAAAAATAGCCAACCAAACTCCTCCTTAAGCCGTTGTTATCTACAAAAAGTATTTAACTTGACTTGATATAAATATAATAAAAGTATAGGTTCAATTATAAGTTATATGTGACTGTGCTATAATTCTGCCTTAGCAATGTTTTCATAAAAACCATAAATAGGTAAATTTTACTATATCACATTGATATAGTAAAATTTATGTATTATTATACTTAGGTAACTAAACAACAAACAAAAGATACTTGCCCACATCACAATGCTTAAATTCCAAGCTGGCATACGTTATATCTAACTAACTCAGTGCAATTATCAACGGGGAAAAACTTGCACTTTGTATGGGGAACTATGTTTTATTTAACTTATTCAACGAAGAGTTTGTCTTGGTTTAATTATATTCTCTATAAAAAAATATTATAATATTTAGACATTTTTTTTTTGTACTTTTGTTTTCTGTATATGGACGAGATTTGGCACAGGAATAGATAATAGTCTAGAATACCACAGAGGCTACTATTTATTCCCGCCAAGCTACTACATGATACAAATCTGAAGAAAAGGAATGCAAATAACTTTTAAAGAAAATTAATTCTAGAATTGAGTTGTTACATTTAAATTTGCATTTTTTATTATTCTCTGCCACACGATTTACTTTGAAATTTCGACATGAAAATTCCAGTGAGCCATTCAGTAGTACATTAACATGTCCAAACGATCAACTATAGTATTTTACACAAGTTTAAACATTATATAAATTTATAAATTAGTGTTTTAGTGTATTTGTAATAATATAGTTTAAAATAACACAGCAGGTGGCGTCATAAAATGATCAACATATAAATTATATAAGTTGTACAAAAACATGGCAAGTAACACAGTTCATAGTAAAAAATAGTATTTCAATGTTGTGATTACTTTACGCTAATCAATAAAGCGTAAACTGATTAGAGTTTACCGCGTATGCAGTTTGAAATTACCTACCACGAGAAAAATTACGAAAAATAATTATCATTAAATGAAACATGTGGCACCAGCAATACTCGCACCAATTAAATACACTATTAGTAGATCATAAAACAAACTATTCCGGCACATACATAGTATTTAGTGTTGAAATTCGCTCTAGATTACGTACTGCACCGGTACTTAGTAAAATGTAGTGCTTTCGAGACGTGAGTAGCAACCTAAATTTGCTGTCACGCCGACATTTCCCAGATGTAAGGATTAGAATATGACAGCAAATTATATATTTACGTGTATTACATTAAGTTATAGCTTCTTCAAGTATTATATATGATGTGAGATATTATATTATGCTAAAAAGGGAGAAAAGCGTACGTATTGTTTTTAAAGTGCACGAAAAATCTTATTAAATATGAAGAATCTTGATGAACGTGAAAGTGTTTATATTTAGTTCTATTAAAGTTATACTCCTCCAGATCTCCGGCTTGTGTCATAGAACACCACAATCTTGCCTTATTTTTTACTTCAGAAAGAAAAAACTCAGAAAGAAAAACAAAGTGGTCGATATCGATCCCTTGGGGTCGAAAGCGGTTTCCCAGGGGTCCTCAACCACTGCGATGGTCGGACTGTGAACAAGGCGCTCCACACGCTGGCAGAATGCCCGGTGTGGGTGGAGCAGAGGCAAGACCTCGTGGCGGCCATCGGGATGGGAGTTCTCTCGCTCGATAACCTTATTGCGGCTACCGTGCAGAGCGAGAGTGCGTGGAACTCTGCCGTCTCCTTCTGCGAGCAAGTTATGCTTGCGAAGGCGATGGCGGAGCGGGACCGGGAGAGGTTTAAAACTCTACCGGCCGCCAGGCTCGGGAACGGGCCAGGTACCGCAGACGATTCAGGCGCTGGAGGTCGCAGAACGACCTCCGTCCTCCATAAGCGCAGGCCTTTGGGTGACAGGTGAGGCCATCTGTCACCCGAGCAGAAGCAGGCCGGGGTGACGGCGAGCGCGTTATGAAGCGCGCGCGCCCTTCCGGGAGTACAGAGGGAACATGGGGGTTCCCCAAATAGTTTTAGAATCCCTGGCCTACTCTGTCGAACAAGATGCTCATTCTCTTATTCAAGTTCTTTTCTTTATTACGCATCATTAAAATACAGGGAAGCACTAAAAAGTAGTACAGCAATCGTAAGTTAATTGTCAGACAGGAACCTAGGGCTTGTGTTCGATTGATACTTGCTTTTATTTGTAGATACTAGTTGTCAAATATGATTTAAGCCTTGCTTTTTTATGTTATACGTGTAATACCGATACACTAAAGCAATGTTTGTGAGTAAACAAATATTTGTCCTATCACCCTTTTTTTTCCGTGCGGAAATCCCCTGGGAAACCACCTATCGGTGGCATGTCGGACTCGAACCGATTAAAACCGCACGCCGCCTCGGGTACTAATAGCCGGGGAACCAGGTATACCCTAGAAAGGAAGTCCCTGGTGCCCCGAAATACCTCGGGCCATCTACAACAACAGGTAGACGACCCCCCCCGTGTGGGAACCACATGTTCTCTCTGCTCCCTGGAAGCGAGCGCGCTTCGCAACGCGCTTGCCGCCACCCCGGCCTGCTTCTGCTAGGGTGACAGATGGCCTCACCTGTCACCCCCAGGCCTGCGCTTGTGGAGGACGGAGGTCGTTCTGCGACCTCCGGCGCCTGAGTCGCCTGCTTTACCTGGCCCGTTCCCGGGCCCGGCGGGCCGGGAGAGTCCTAAACCTCTCCCGGTCCCGTTTCGCCGTCTCCTTCGCGAGCATAACTTGCTCGCAGAAGGAGACGGCAGAGTTCCACGCACTCTCGCTCCGCACGATAGCCGCAATCAGGCTATCGAGCGAGAGAACTCCCACTTCGATGGCGGCCACGAGGTTTCGCCTCTGCTCAACCCACGCCGGGCACTCTGCCAGCGTGTGGAGAGCCGTGTCCACGGTCTGGCCATCGCAGTGGTGGCACTCAGGCGTTGGCTCCTTGCGGATCAGACACAGGTGATCCCCGAAACATCCTTTCCCAGTGATCACCTGCGTCAGTCGGTATGAGAGGGTCCCGTGACGCCTCTCGAGCTAATCCTCCATAACGGGTCTTATCGCCGCGATGACGGCGTGCCTGTGTCCTATCACCCTCACATTTTTGTTAGAATCTGAAAGAAACCGGCAGTGGATCAATGTCATAATAATATTATAACTATAAATCATCTGGCAGTCTAAGTTAGATCGTCTTCCATGCCTTGTTTATTTAATTGACTAGTATAACTAGAACTGTATAATATGTACTTTTGTACCATGACAGACCAAATCATATACTGGACCCCTTTAGTTTTATGTAGTTGTTTCTTTATAATTTTTAACTTTATAGTGCATGTAACAATTTTAATCTGTTAATTAAATAACAATTGTTTAAATCTTGGATTAAATCTATTTATCTATTTTCCCAATTACATTTTGGGATCCGCAAAATGTGCAACATTGCACAATTATTAAGGATTTTGGTTGGTTTCTTACGTACCTACTCCTCCGTTTCCCCAACGTCAACCCTTCTTAGGATTATAAACGTTTTCAGACGGGACGAGAAAGAAGATGAGTTAGAGAGAGTAAAACGTATTAGACAAGAGAGCAAGAGTAAGGGATACCAGTCTGAACACAAGTCCCCGTGTGGGAAATGGAACTGAGACTGCA